TGCTGTGTTCAGAATATCTCACAAAAGATTGTGATACTTAATGCACTTCAAAAAAGCTTTCCCAAGCCACAGCATGGGAGTAGCTTGCTTTGCCCTTAACCTGTGAGGAACTTTGGAGCTTGCTGTATTTGAATTGTTCCAAAAATTCACTTAAAAATTTAAGGTCTCATTTAGAAAGTTTCCTTCAAACTGACACAGTTCTGATAAATACATTTTCACTGGAGTGGAGCTGACTTCGTACAATTTGTGCACAGAGACTCCATTATATAGTTCAGGATACAGACTCTACAAAAGCACAACCTACTGTAAAATATGCATATTTCAGAGTATTTTTTGTTAAAGGGAAACACACCTGAAACTCTCCTTCCGAGCATCAAGAATAGCAAAAGTAAAATAACTGTAAATGAAGTCACTGGAGTGTTACTGTTGCTCAAAGGTAGGATTCCAGGTGCATTCAGGTGGTGTTTTATTATGCATATAAATAACAGGCCCTCCGCACCATGTCTGCAAGCTGGCAACAGAGTCTGGAAGAAGGTGCTCAGAGCTGAGTGAAAGACCCTGTGTTCCAACCTGCTGCTGCAATGGCTGCTCAAATTCTTTGTACACTACTCCCATGTATAAAATAACACTCTTAAGACTTACCAGTAGCAGGAATATAGCACAGCCCCTGGTCTGTTGACAAAAGCAAATGTAAAGACCTGGGTATCAGCCCCATAATTATCTCAGCTGGTGAAAACCACTGAAGAAAATTAGTGGTAAAAGCTGTGACTGTTTCTCTGTGGGTAGATAAGATACCTGTGGTTCCCCCTTTCATTAGAAACTGTTTTTCCTTAGCTGTAGAAACATCATATTTTCTGTTTTAAGCAAATAACTAACAATCTCACAAGCATCCCTGCCTTCAGGACAGGTTCTTCTGCTTTCCAAGGACTGTGCTTACTAGACAGGGATTACAAGGCTTTAGTGTTTTCTCCTCCTCTTGCTATGTTGCTGACTGATGACAAACTTCAGTCAATTTTGTATGTAGTAAGGACACACTCTCACACAGAAAGCCAGCTCCCCACTGGATACCTTCCTCCATTTGGGCAGAGATCACCTGCCCTCCAAAAAATCACTGAGATCATCTAGTCTAACCATCAACCCATAACCACCATGCCCACTAAACTATGTCCAACACAGCTCCTTTCAGGAAGAAGTCAGCCATTGCAAGAGGCAGTTCCTTCCTCATCTAGGGCCAGAACAGGGCAGAAGAATCTCCCTATAAAAGCTGTGGGTGACATGGAAGGGCACAGGGCAGGCACTGAAATGAGTGCACGCAAGTTCAGGCTGTCACAAGAACACAGGCTGTATCTCCCACGTACAGAGACGGGAAAGGAGGCTGCCCTCCCTCTGAAGGCACAGGTACTGACCAGGCATTTCCATTCCTTCTTTTTCTTGTTGGATATGTATAGCGCCACGAGCAAAGTACTGACAAGCAGTCAACGAATTCAGTTGCTGGTTGGCTATGCAGGACTTTGGGAGCTGCGGGGTGAAAGTGATGCATGGAAATTAAGCTAATTTTAAACTGCAGGCAAGAGAAGAGACTTGCTAGCAGTTACTTAAGAGAAACTGCTGACTGTTTGAATGCCATTAAGAAGATTAATGTCAGCCCGCAGAACCACTGAAAAATTAGGGCTGAAAGGGACCTCGAAAGGTCAGACCAGTCCATCCCTCTTACCCAAGGCAGGATCACCTAGGGCTCGGGCATCTCTGACAGATGTTGCCGAACTTGATCTTAGAGCTCTCCGCTCCCCAGGCAGTCTATTCTTTATTACCCCTGTCATTAGAAAGTTTTTCCTAACATCTAAATTGAGCCTTTCCTGCTGTGATTTAAGCCTTCTTGGTTTTTTTTTTCCTTGTTTTTTTTTTTCTTTTTTCTTTTTTCCCTCCTCCACCACAAACGAGGAGTAAAGATTGTGTGCTTTTATGTGCTTGTAGAGTTCAGTTCTCCCCTCCTTTGGGTTGGGTATTTCAGTTCTTTCAAGCTCTCATGGCAGGTAATGGCTCCTTGGCTTCCAGCTGTTCTCCCTGCTCTCCTCTGTGCTGGATCCAATTACGCCACATCTCTTCTCATTTTCCATCACCTCCACACGGTGACATAGCTGACTCGCACTCGGCGTTTGATCCTTTTCCTGAAGAACTGCTCGTTAACCCAGTACTTGGTCCTTGAGGAGCTGTGTTGCTGCTGCAGCGTAAGACTTTCCACTCACCCAGCGATCGGCTGACGGCTTCTTCCAGACCATTTCCCCAGTTTGCCCAAATAATTTTTAATTCTAATCCAGTCCAACACCGTATCCACTTTTGCTTCATACATAAAAATATCCCCCCCCCCCCCCCTTACCCTTTCTGATAGAAGAATAAAACTTAAGCCTGACCAAGATGAGCAGCACCCTGCGAGGCCCGCAGCGCCCACCCCGACGGCGGGGCGGCGGCACGGCCCGAGGCTGCCCCCTGGCGAGGCGGCTGGACTCAAGGGCGAGCCCGCGCCGCCGCTGGAAGGCCGGCCGTTGCTGGAAGCTCGCCGCCTCCTTCAGCCTCAGAAGCCCCGTGCCTTGGGTAACAGGGCCTGAAGCGTCACTGGGTGGCTGCATTCAGCGCTAACCATAGCTTCTCTCTTTAAGGAAAAGCTTCCTGCCTTTGCTAGGCATAGTAATTAGACTTCTTTCCCCACGTCGGGATGGGATGAAGGGCTGCAGTTGTGCTTTAGGGGAATGCATGAAGGCACCCAACGTCAAAGCTTGGAAACGGAGTGCTTTCTGCAGCAGTCTGTAAGCACCAAAAGGTCCCCGTGTCCAAAGGTATGTGTCACTGGTACAGAACACTAACAACTAGACTCATTAACTATGACCAGGGAACAGAAGCTCTAGCCTCTACATTGAGAGGAACCAGTAAGAAACTAGAAAACAGATGAAGTCCTGCCTTGTTCTCACAGGAATACATTCCTCCAAACCATCAAATTCCAGGACTCCCAAAAAGAATGGCTTCTATGGTGTCACCCCCATCTCCCTCAGAAACACTGCTCTCAGTGCCCTTGAGGTTGGGTCCCAGGCCTTTTCCACCTGGGCGTCTCCCACTCTGGCTTCAGGCTCCCTGCGTGCTCCACCCTGTAGCTCCCAGGTAAAGCCAAGTCAGCATTCCCTCCCAGGGGCTGCCTTGATCAGGGGAAGAAAGAAGTACGGAGGGGATGGGCAGTCTGCTCTTGCTGTGTTTGGAAAAAAAATTAAAAATGGATGCTTCTAGTAAGCATGCTCCCACAAGACGGCACATTTTGTCATTGACAAGAACAGTGGTTGAAAGCCAAAATTTGTGGAAGGGTAGAGGTCACTCCTATGCAGGGGAGAGGGGCTTTACTAGCCTTTCCAGGGGCAACACAACCATGAAAGTAGAGGAGTGATAAAAACTCAGGCCTTTCTAACAGTTCAGTAGATCAGGGTTGAGCAGCAAAGGTCAGGCTACCACACAGCTTCAATATCCCTCCTCCTTTGCCCATTTGCTCTGCCATGAGAGCATTTCACGACACTCATGATCACAAGGTAGTAAAAAGGTAAGTCAGTAAAAAGAGCACACATGGCGCTGCAGCAGGCATGCAAGAGACAGAACCCAGCACTGCCTTTGCTCTCCTGATAAATCATCTGCATCAGTGCGATGGATGCTTTTTCCCCACACCCAGGCTCTGAGAAATTCTTTGAGCTCACAGATTAATCAAAACAGGCTGATCTCAGCTCGTTTCTTGATCTGCCTTAACTACTCACTCAGCAGGCATCCAAGAGTACCTCATGCCCCCAGCCCCACTCTGTGCCCATCCTGCCAGTAAGCACAGCTGTGGCTTGGCTGCCATTCTGTGCAGCCCGCAAGGAGCCCACCTGCCTGATAGGGATGTGCCTCCCAGCAGCAGCAATTAGCAGATGCCATAGAGGACCTGGACAGGCAGGCTGCACCCCTCCTAATTGACTGAAAGAAGAACAAGACTTGAACTTGCTCCAAAAGGAAGCACAAGCTTCAGCCTCTCTGCATTCATCTACTTGCAGAACTTGTCCAAACCCGCATGTAGGCAGCAGCTTGCAGACAAGCAATTTAGAGGAAACAGAGTCAGGCCAGCACAAGTCAGTTGGAGATATTGACCCTTCTGGCACTTTGGAGGCACACCTTGAGCTCAGCTTAAACATGTCTTTCTTCCCCTCTCTGGGGGGACTGGCCCTTCTTTTCCCCTTCTCAGCTATTATTTTCTTTAGTATGGCTCATTCCAGCTACAAGTCCACTGTATCCCTCAGTACTGTCTTTTCCAGGCTCTGCAAACCACACCAGGTAGAATTCTGTGGAAAACAAATCAGAACACCTACATCCCCTTCCACACTGGCAATTCTTGAGGAGAAACATACTATCAAATATCTCATTTCTGGTTTTAACCAAATAAAAAGATTTCACCAAATTTTTTCCAGTGTTACACAGGTTGCAGTAGTTCCACTACAGTTTCACTACTACAAAGCAGTAGGTCAATAAAGAAAAAAGAAAAAAAAGATTATGTACAAAACAGCTATTCTCTCTCAGGCAGTGATGGCATCAAGATAGACCAGGAACTTCAGCGACCTAGAAGACTTTGCTGTCAAGGCATAGCTGGCACCAAAAAAAAAAAAAAAAAAATAAAGATCAAATCAGGAGCAATTCCAGAGCAAGCAGATTGAGCAGGCTGCTTTATAGCCATCACTATGATGGTACATGTATCACAGGAATGAGTTCAGGTGCTTTGTAGTGAGTTAGCAGGAAGGAAGAATTATTTGCCAAAGGTATGGCATTGTGATCACATAACTGAGAGTTCCACTTCCAAGACTCTCACAAACAGAGGTTTTAGCTTAAAAGTTCCCTATATTCATCACAGAGGACAAAGACTGCTTAGCAATGAATGCAAACAGTGCCACAGAACAATGACAACTGCAGGTGCAAAGGAGGAATACTAGAGGCGCAAAGGTGCTTCAACATTTATTTTCCCCCAAAGAATCATAAAAGGATTAAAACAATTCTAAAAATTGCAATGCTTTATAATGCTTTACAATACATAAATACTAACTGTACTTCCCGCTTAGACTAAGCAGCAGGAAAGTCTTTTACTCAGGCCTTTATGTCAGTAAAGTGCATAAAGCTGTTTAATTTAATTCAGGTACAGAACAGGTGATAGGAAAAATATAAAGCGGAGTCATTCCAGTTTAGTCCAAGACTGGGAAATTCTCCTGAGTGGGATGTTCTGCTGCTGGTTGGAAGCCACATTCAACAGATAATGCTCACATTGAGTGCAAATGTCTGCAGTCAGCCAGTTTGCCATGGTCCTTGTGTGACAGCACAGAGGCTGCGCTAGGCCGTGGGGCTCCAAAATAACAGGCACACTGGAGCAGGAGAGCAAAGGAAAAGAAGGCAAGGCAAGTAAATCAACCCACAGATAGTTGGAGGATACTGAATTTTTTCCACCCTTCCTCAAGACCTGATCCAACATTGCTAAATGATTTTAGCTAAGTGGATGGGTTCAATGGAGTAGTCATCTCCACGCTTGGGAAAGTTATTAGGCACCAGAACAACTTCATTCACTGAGACTTCTCTATTGTAATAATAGCCTAACAGTATTTCAACAGAAGGGCTAGCTAACATATCTGCGATTCATCCAAGATTATGACTTACAGCATATGCTGTACAATGTTTCTTTGACATCTGGAAGTACGACAGTAACACAGTCACTCAGAACTCTTCTGCAGCATCTGCATTGTGAGCCAGACCCAGGCACTGTCAGTGCTAACATCTGTAATGAACACTGGCTTGATTTTTGGACACTGAAGTACAAGCATTTGAACCAGAAACTGCTGTGACTATTTTGGCTATATTAGAGAACAATATCAGAGAAAGTAGATTCCTGTTCAGCCAGTACAACGTACACAAATATAGATTTGGAAAGAGGAAAACAGAACATACGCTTCCAGTTCTAGATATTGCACTTATTCTCACAATGTATTTTCTACTCAGACCTGTCAAAAAAAATCATTTGGCAGTAATTGCCCTCCCAGGGACAAAAAAAAAAATTAAATAGAAAAGGTGTCTGAATGCTTGGAGAAGGACTGAGAAAACCATCTGCTGCATTACTCTTCAGTCAGTTACACCTTGGACCTTTCACATATTTCTGTTCTAGGTATAGATAGGGTACTCTTGGATTGCAGGGAAACACCCCCAGCTGCCGTGGATATGGAACACAGTGAGAATTTGGGAAATTCTCATACAAATGAGTCTTTCACTAGAAATGTTCTGCATCTGACTGCAATACTTTTTATGAACTGTAGATCAGTTAGACCAGTCATTCAGTATAATATTCAGTTGGCTAGAACAAGACTACATAATGCAGCTGTATGCACAGGTAAACAAACCTGCTGACAAGTATCTGGTAACACGTTTCAAGGTAAAAGCATAATACATCTCTCCTAGCTTACCTATAACACTCCCATTGTTCAATTTCACGCAGCAACTCTGAGCTCTTCTGCTCTTGAGTAGCTGGGTCTTCTTCTCTGGAGAGTCTCAAAAGTTTTAAGAAGTGAAGTGGAAGATGTACACACATTCTGAAGGGCATGGACATCTAGAATCACAACACAAATCACCTGAGTTCTCAGGAAAACCTTTCTTCTTAGAAGGAAGATTGCATGGCATTTAGTTGATTTATTGCTGCACTTAGAAGATAAACAGTAATGCAGTGAACTCCCTGACCCTCGCATAAATAGAGCGCAGAATAATCCCAACAACTTTACACAGGATCAAAGGAAGAGGAACCAGAGCTGTTTCAGCTGACATGCCCTTCTTTCCTAGTTGTTTTTGCATCTTCTATTACTGCCTCTTTTCTTATAAACAAGCTAGAGGGTAGATTTGAGGTACCAATAGGATGAAGGAAAGCTTCTTATGACTAAATGAAGTGCAGAGAAAACAGAAAAGAAAAAACATGTTTGTTGTAAAGACTAGACTTGCCTTGATGCAGCAGTCACAGCAGACGACACTAAGAAAAAGAAATACCCAGCATTATGTTTGAGAAAAGCTCAGTAAACACAGGTTCTGTATTAAGGATGATTTATCCAGAGTCTCAGTTTGTGATTGCAGCAAAGTCACTTGAAAGCAAAGTGAACAAGTCTAGAGTTATCTGTTCAGCCAGCCCTCCTATGGTATTTATAGTACTTTTAGGTCATCTGAAGCATATCATCATTTGTAGCTTGAAGGCTTCAAATGCAAGTACCATTTTCACTAACAGAGATACTGAACTACCACTGGTTGTTTAGTTATTGCTTGTATTCAATGCAGCGCTTTGCTGCTGTTTCAAATAGACTTAAATGAGCCTGGTAGAGCCTGAAATTTCTCTTTTCCTCTCCTATGAAGAGAAAAACTCTGACAAATCAGTGGATAATACTAGGTCCAATTCTTTCCCCAGCCACAAGGTCTGGAGTCCACTTTTCCAGTCCTGAATAGAAAGTTGTGTTAAAAAGGCTATCCAGAACCTGCTCAAGCCCTTGACTGAAGTAAAATCCAACCTACAGAGCAAAATGAAGACAGTGATTGCTGAGAAGAATTGAGCGTTATGCTTGCACTTTAAATTTGGGCATTGCTAGCTATTACTAAGAGTTAATATTGAGATATCACTTCCGAGGTAAGTTTTCCCATGTTCTTCAGCCTAGCTTGTGTAGTAAGGCAAAGCCAAAATGCTAAGGAACCCATTCCAATCCAAGGACTGCTACCATATGAATTCTGAGTATTCTCACTGCTATTCTTTTACCCTTCTCTCCATCCTCATTCAGTCCTTTCGTACCCACTCACCTGCTGCAGAGGTAACAGCTGTAAGGCCACTTAAGAAACATCTGCTTATGGCAGCTGAAACAGATCTGTGGAATGGAAAATGTTGTGAATGCCAACAGGAAATATCTTTCAACCAACAGTATCCACTGCCTGCCAAAGAGCGAGCATACAAGCTAACCTTCTCAAGGCTTCAGATCCACACAGAATAGCTGATCCATTGAAGGATAGCAGAGACACAGGAATTAAAAGCTAAAAAGGCAAAAGAGGCCTTATTTGTAAGTCTATGTTTTTATGATGCAGAGGTTTGGAGCAGCTGCCAGACAACAGGAGTTCAAAAAGAGGCTCTTGAACAAACAATAGCTGTATTGTGCAATAGCATAACAGTAGCTAGTTAAGAGAGGGAAGAAGAGAGACATTCTTTGAGGTAGACTGCAACAATCCCAAAGAGATTAAGTCAGGGCAACTTTGAATCCAATCCTGAAGCAATAAGTGAGTCATAAGGAAGCTGATGAGTCTCTTGAACTTTATAAAAAGAACATTCATACACAGCTGGCAGTCAGAAGTGATATTATCTTGAGAAGCAGAGCTTGAGAAAGCTAAAAAAAAAAAAAAACAAAAACAACAACTTCAACAGTGAGAACACAAAGGGGATAAGAGAGCCATTTTAGAATAAACAGAGAGAAAGCAAATTAAAGCAACATTGGTTAAGAAAGGTGAGAAGGAAACACTCCTGTAACAGGAGTGGAATTATCATAGCTGCACTAGTAGAACTCTTTGGCTCTGTGCATACTGCTACTTAAGTGAGTACAAGAAGCTGACCCCAAAGCCTAACAGCATGAAATTCCTCACATCTGTGTTGCAAAGGGCTTTCTCTGAAGACATCTGCTCTTGAGGGGCTGGTGGAAGCAGGCCCTCTAGAACAGGCTGTGAATAAGTAAGCAGAGTGGGCAGGCAACAGTCCTGTGCTGTAGCATTCTCAACCTCCCTCATCTCTCTAGCCTTTATATTCATCCCTCAGCAGGATGGCTTAGGTCAGCACAACTCAGATGTTAAGAGTCGGAATTAAAAGCCTTTGAAATTCGGTACACAGAGAAGCAATCTGTATCTCTGTGAATTCAGAGCTGAACAACAAGAACAGCAATCAGCTAAACTAGCATAGAAATAACAGATGAAATTCTAAGTGAAGGCTAAGCTGCTACTTAGGGAATTTACACAGCCTAAGCTTGATTAGAAGCCATCACAGCACAAGTATTAAAAGATCCTATACAGCCTAGGGACAAACTCAGATCAGCAGCATGAACAGGAAGAACTGAGGCAGAGTACCTCAGCAGTTCAACACTAAGAGATGAAACCAGGCAGCTTCTATCAAGGCAAGGACAGCACTCTACAAGGAGAAGGAAACATACCTTTGCTCTTGGAAAGACACCATCACCACTTCCTTGGAAAAAGCCTCCCCTTTTCAGCACTATCATTGCATATCTGGTTCCAATCAGTTCAGCAATGGTAGGTGATGGCCTAGTAGCAGGAAAGTAAGAGTCCTGTCCAAAGACAGAAGTTAAGCATCAGAAAGAGCTAAACACACACACACTGTAAAAGCTATTCTCAAACCTCAGTCCCAAGAGGCTCAGCAACGTTTCTATCCACAACTCACTTCTGCTGATGGACTGTATATGTCGCTAGTAGAGCACACTTCAGGGAATACTGCTTTAGTTTTTGAGATTTTAGTAAAAAACTCAAGTAGTTTCCTGAACCTGCACTAGGGAAGCATGTCCTTTGGCCCCCCAAAGCATTTAATCCCATCACCAGAAAACTCTCCTACCCTTGGATACAGACATAGCACAGATGGTATCTTTTCCACTCCTCACCTAAGGTACAGGTTCTCTTTCCACAACACAATGTTCTTGCTTTATCTTTCGCCAAAGACCCACTAATCCCACACAACTAGCAGCTATTTTTTCTTTCCTTTTCAACAAGATCACCAGTTTTTATCTGGGTGAGGAGCCTTGCCCACCTGCATCCCCCACTATGCTGCTGAACAAAGAGGTCAGGGTTATGATAAGATTAGAATTTTATCCGGGGTGGGAGAAAGAGCAATGCAGCTCCCTCCAAGGACACTACAAGTTTTATATTGCCTCCAAGTGAAAAATAATATCCCAATGTAAGCTGAGCATACAATATGGCTTAAATAAAACCAACATAACATGTTCAATACATGTACACCAGGTTCAAGGTGCACACTGGAATCGTCATCAGATATATTAGAACAGCTTGGCAGCTGATATGCCAGACTTACAAATTTCTTGCTTTGAAGGCCAGTGTCTAAAGATTTGGACCTTCTTCTGTAAGGATGCAGCTGCTGCTGGCCAACATTCAGGACACTGTTAGGCTGAAGGACTCCTAGCAGGGGTGTGCTCATGGGAGGAAGTGTATGATCTGCAGCAAGACCTGGGTAGAAAGTTTCAGACAGCAGACAAAAATGGGCTGACAGCCTCTAAATGTTCCCCCAAAAGTTGAATAGTCAAGAGCATGACACTGCCTTCTGAAGACAGCTAGGCCTGCATCTCTCCTTCTCAAACTCCATTAATTCAGATCATAAAAAGCAGAGATTACTGTAATTACGCTTGTCAGTAGGAAGTGATGAGCCTTCATTAGCACCATTTAGTTTAATATAATCAAGCGTTCTACTTCAACATTCAAAAGGCTCATTAAGTTTTTACTGTGAATTCAATTATGCCTTTTGGGATACGCTATCATTGTTTTGAAGCTGCAGGAGATGTACAAGCATCAGTCAACTGCAGAGGAATGGTTTTCTAAGGACACCTCCCCAGACTCATGATTTAGTGTTGGAGCTTCTTCTGTCAAGTACCTTCAAGTGATCAGAGAGCTGCAGCACAGTAAGCCCTAAGTTTATGGCAGCACAGTAGGCCACTGACTACTTTGTCACCACCTGGTTTACACACATAGCAAAAACAGCACTGACCTGTGCTGCTGTAGGACGCTACTGATGACCTGGCTGAGGCATGCTGGGTGCTGGAAGACAGCTTTGGAGTCATTTCCTGTAGACCAGAGGACAAGGTACTCTTAAGCTTGCTCAGACTATTACTAAACAAAACCCAGGATTCAGAATCGACCAGAAGCAGTACAAGGCTTATTCAGAAGTAGAAGAAAGAAAGAAAACAATGTAGAATACTTAGAAACTTAGTGTTCCAAGAATCAATTGCAAGTAAATTTTCCCTAAACAGGAAGCTCCAGTCAAGCCAGTTAAGTTTCAGATTCATCTGTTATCACCTCAATCAAGCTCAATGCTGATTTTAGTCCCAAATTTTCAATGGGTCAGCAACCAACTTCACTAGATTCTTTACAGCTTTCAGAATGCTTTGCCATTTTCCTTAGTTCTGGCTCACATGTACCAACTGGAAAACAGTTAAGTGTACTAATAACTTAGCTCAAACCCAATGCTGTATGTAGAGAGCACAGTTTCTAGCTTCTCTAGAAAAGCAGAATAAAGTTACAGCCTCCACAGAGGTCTTTCTAGTTCACAATAATACACCAGTAATACACCAATAGTTCTCAAGCTGTGAATATTCCTACAAGTAGCACATTCTTGTGCAAATATAGCTAAGATTTTCTGCTTTTATTAATTCATATCCATTTTCCTCAGTTAAGCAAATGCATTTCAGACAAATGCTTACAGAAAACAGATTCCTGTTTGCTTGCCAGAGCATCTGTGCTAGGCATAACGTGTTAGGGTTTCAGTTCTGTTCCATACAGTTTCTGACTGTGCTCAGACTGAATCCCAGAACCACACAGTCAAGATCAGGCTATGAAATTAAAGAACCCAAAGCCTGCATAGCCCAGTTTACTTAAAAATGGTGCTCCTTCAGTTGCTTCCCAGGCAGAAGAGTGGGAATTCACCAGTAAAGTTGCTTCCTGTAACTAAATCATGTGAAATGCAAACGCATCTAGCATCAGTTGCCTCACTGCAAGGTAAAAGTAGGAGTTTGGCTAATATGCGCCAAAATTTCTCCTATATTTATCAAGATTTTGAGAATACCTAGTTTTAGTGACAACAGCAGACCTTAGAGTTATAAGCCACACTCGTGTCATAAAAAGAAGTGTTTAAACATCACATGAGTTTCTGTAGAGTCAAATACTCCAATGAACAAAACAGTATCATGTTTGTTCACTTTTGAAGAACAAGACTGCTCACACTGAGATTTGAACTCGATATTCTAAGGTACATATCTGCACAGATACAATGCTTAGAATAGACTGTTTATACTTATTCAGCCCTTTCATTTAAAGCCTTACCTGAATTCCTGATCTTGGATGCTGTGCTCTTGTGTTTACGATCTGAAGTGCTGCACTGGCATCTAGGGATGTTAAAAAAAATATTATTCAGAGATTTCAAGGCAACATTTGGAATTATAGACATTTCTGGGTGGTGTGAGGGAAGTGAAAGAAAGAATATACACGCACACAGTAAGATATTATGTTGTGGCAAGAAAGTAACACATCTTATACCCACATATCAGAGTTTGATATTTACCCTGTTATTTAATATTTTAGTTTCAGGAAATTATTGAAATCCTGCTTTCCAAGTCAGTTGACAAATTCAACTCTCTATTTATAAAAATCACAGTTTGAAACATCCTCAAGATGTAATAAACTGCAAAGAGTTTTCTAGAAATATTCTTATCATTTACAAACAAAGTTTGCATTCCCTCCTCCCTGACATTATATGTTATGCAATGTTTTTATCAAGCACACAACTGAAGTCTGGTGACTTCAGTTGTATGCTTGATAAGGTCACTCTGTAGCAGATACCTTTAGGCTTGCTCCCACTTTCCCTTGCTGATGACGATTGAAGCTTCTGTGGTTGCTTAATTTCTGCCATGAGCTGTTTGTGTAAGGTAGGCTCTGATGGCACACACTCTTTCAGCTTCCGCTCCAGCACCTGCAGGCAGAGCATAGCACTGCAAAGAGCCAGTAGCTAAAGTGGGGAGACAGTGGTGACAGAACTGGAGCTTCAGCAAGGGTACTGCTGTACAAGCGCCTCTCACTCAAGAGGGCACTGAGCCCTCTACATCATGCCTTCCATACCTCATTTCTTGTCTTTTGAGGCACTTGAGAGAAGCTTCAGATAATGTGTTTGTTAAAGAACATTTCAGCAACTTTCGGATTTGAAACAAGGCTAGATCAAGTAGTATAGGAGTACTTTCAGGACCACAAAGTGCTCCAGCTAGAAGTAGCAACAGTGGAAATAGACTGATCATTTTTCTCTGAAGATTTGCCACCTCCCATTTTCCTAATCCCATGTGTTGGCAGCGGGTTCTGCCCAACAATTAATTACAATTTAGCCCTCTCCTAAATTCAAACCAGTAGTTAAAACATTAAATTTGTATTCCCAGAAACCATCCTGTCAACTCTGACATTATCTTGCTTTGCTATCATTAGATACAGCACCAAGTCACCTACAGGTTTTAGATGAGGCTTGGGAGTGGCTACAGCATTGCTGGGGGTTTTGCATTTTTGCTCGATGTTCACCTGAAAAAGCAGAAATGGTGCTTGAGCAACAAGTTTCTCCACAGTTTTCACACCTTCTCATTCAGAGGCACAATGAAAAACTCAAAAAAAAAAAAATGAGAATAAAGAATGTGGAGAAGAAATTAAAAAAAAAAAAAAAAAAAAAGAGTAGGAAAATGTAGAGTGATTAAGTTTGCTTAGAGGTTTTTTGTACAAACAGCTTTGCCTATGGCAAGAGATGATCAGAAGCCCTGCACAGCCCTTTGGAGCATGCATAGGAAGCAGACAGCTCAAAATGCTCTAAGAAGCTACTGAAAAAAATGTTGTAGTCATATTTTAAGGTCAGGACTTGATCACAATACTTTCATTAGTGATAACTCAGCTCCAAGGAGGAGAGTTACTGAATAGGTTAACATAGAACACCATAACAAGAACTGTAGCAGCAGGCAACTATATGCATAAGCTAGAGTCCCAGAGACTGGTTTACAGCCCCACATAAACTAGGAACAATAGCAAGATAGAACTGCTTGTGAGGCAGATTTTTTCTCTCATCAAGGCCTGTGTTTGATGTAGAGAGGACAAAAATATATATATATATATATATATACACATGTACAACTTGACTTATCTGCCTTGTCCACTTATTCTTACTTTGAGGCTATGCCATTTTCTTTCCGTGTGTATACAACTGCAGAATACATGAGAGTGCAGTAAAATACCACTAGCTGTCCCTTAATTAATTTGAAAATTAGACCACTGTTTGCTACAGGAGCTTTAAAGTAGCTTTGCACATGGGGAAATCCCTGTTTAAGAGACTTCTCAAACAAAGGCTGAAACAGTAAGCACTCCTTTCCTTCTCCCAGTATTTTTGACAAATGCGCTTCAAATTGAAGCTTGTGCTTCTTGTCAACCACAGGGAATAAAAAAAGAAAAAAGAAATCAAGAGCCAGTTCATCCTGCCACCTTCAGTCACGTTTCTGTACTACATAGTGCTTTACAATACATAGCAGTATCAATGAAATGAGTAGTTGTAATGTATTTGCTTCTTTCCATTACTACTCATGTATTTCTGAACAAATTAGTCTCCAGATAAGTGTTAAAGCCTTATCTGAAGGCTGGCGCCACAATCAAAAGTGAGAGTTAGAGTTTTATGAGTGTTGAGCTGAAGATTTGAATCCCCCGCACTCTAGGAGTGCCAGCAAGGAGGGAAAAAAATGTTGATGTCTAGCATGCTAAGCAAACTTTTCACTTTAAAATATTGGTCTTTATTATAACTGGAGTTGTGTCTTATGTTCTGCCAAGATGTCTGTTTGCAAAACACACCAATGCCACAAAGCCTTATGCCAGTGTTTTAGATCTGCTCATCGTTCCCAGCTCAAGCTGCAGCAAGTAAACAGCATCACAAACCTTCGGAGGCACTCAGTCATTTTTATATCTGTGCATCTTCACCAACATCAACATTGCTGGAAGCCTTTACCATTTGAGTCAGCACCACAGCTGCCCTGGAAGCAGTTGAACTTTTTTTTTTCATCCTGCCTAAGCTCCTGCAGTAGCTCGTATACACTCCTACAGGCCTCTGCCTTAGGCTGAGCAGAGCACTAACCCCATAGTGATTTTACATTTTCATACATCTCACAGCAGCTAAGGCAACAAATCCAGTAAGAGATGCCAAGCATGGCACAACTCAAGCAGCCTGTAAAGACAAGTGTCTTGAGTACAAAAGCATGAGCAGGCAAGAGTTTCTTTAATGGAGTTGTTTTGTGCAAGGCAGCTTAATTGCACTGGAGAAGGAACTGACTGACACCTGGAGGGGAAACAAGCTTGCTATCCAGCTTCATAAAAGTTTGTCTGCCCCAGATTAGAAAGGTACTGGAAATGAAGCGTTTGGTTGGATAAACGTAACAATCAAATATTGAGCTGTAGCTGAGAGGGAGCTCTAAATACTTTTGGACTGGATGTACCTTTGAGAAAGACCTGAAGAGTACCTTTCAGTCAGAACAAATACTGTTTGGAAACCAGGTGGTTTCAAAATTGTCCTCTGACTGTAGTCACTCACCTTCCGAAGTTTGTACCTCTTGTGCCGAATATCATCTAGAAGTAATTCATAAGGGGAGTAGGTACATTGTTTCAGAGGGACAGGACGCTGTGGTCGCTCAGTGGCCTTCTGCAGCTTTACACCATTCTGTAGTTCACGGATGACACTGGGCCACAGGGATGCCTAGGAGAATCCGGTGAGAAACAAGTCAACATCTAGCTAGAACTCATGGAAGAGCACTCTCTCCCTCTCTGTTAAAGGGACAAACTGAGCAACTGAAGTCTTGCAGAAACAAAGTGTGTTCTCAACAGTCCCCTTTAACCCACTTGAAGATTAAGGAATAGTACCAGGTTTATCCCTGATTTTTGTCATCGACTTTATGAACGTACTTCATCAAAACACACTTTTTGTTACCAGATATTTAAGACCAGGTATTTAAGACTCATCTTCTTGAAGTACTTCCTGTAAGCATTCCATGTACCAGAAGAGTTTTTGTTTTGGTTTCCCCCTCTTCTTTCCTATCTTCATATTATTGCATTCTAGGAAACACTGAGAATGAAATCCCAAGCCTTATGATTAAAATCCTCTGAACTTTTGGAAACCAAGAGTTGAAGAGCCCACAAACTCGAAGAAGACAAAGAGAAAGCAATCTCTAACAGCAACTTATGTTAGTGGTTACAGCCTGGAGACATAAGCTGATAACTCCTATCTTCCCATCCAGTTCCTGTATAATACCTGTTTCCACAGGATGCTCAGGCATGTAGGATAGCACAACAAAAGTTAAAGGCAGGAAAAAAAACACACAACATAATCCACTCAATAGCCTGTTTAGACAACATTGTAACGGAAGAGCAAAGTCAACAGCTTATTTAGTTCCCAAAGGCAAACTGAATATGAAAGTGATTGTATTATAAACAGTAAAGAAGGAAGCAACATGTTTTAGAAAACTGCCTCAGAACAGAACTTCTGATTTAAATTCATATCCATCTTCCTTTTACAGGATGAAGTGCGTTCTCTCAAATTATGCCTTCAGATATCTTGGTATAATAGCAGAAAAATGTTACGTATACTCTGACTGGTAGGCTGCCTTTGAGGAGAAAGACATTTAATTGGATTGCTCTAGGTGGGTTTTGCAACAGTGGTATCTCACTTCAAAAAAAAAAAAAAGAGCAGTCAGATGTTAGCCATATACTAGCCGTATCTCCTTGACTAACATAATTTATTGTGTAGGAGAACACACACACACACACACACCTCTGAAAGTCCTACCAAGGAAAGAGCTAAGCAAATAGATTGGTGTTTGTCTCCTATTCAACACTAAACACTTTCCATTCTCTTCAACATCTGAAGTGGTAAGATAGCTGTTCCCAAGAGATCTTGGTGCTTAGATTTCAAGCAGAAGATTGTCTTGTGACACATATGAATCAGCTCTGCTCAGACAAAACAACCCTGCATGATATCAGGTTGCAGTATGTGTTTCAGAAATCCCATTTCATAGCAGTCAAGATGGAAAAGTGTGGTCCACAGACAGCATTAACTGCTTGGCACTACTTAAGGCCTCAGCTCCAATCTGGAATCCCAGAAATCGGCACCCTGGTTATTTTAAACTCAAGAGTTTGTCAGAGTGATGCAGTGAACTGGTGCTGAGGGACTTGGAAACCAGAGGCAAAGGATTTGCAACAGACATCCTGCTTTTGGAATCCATGTCTCCTGAAGGAGCAGAGGCCAAAAACACTGGCCTCCAGGCCACACGTCAAAGCCCATGTATTTATTCATGTATTCCCTGCAGAAAAGTGCTACAGCAGTTGATGAGTTTGTGGTTTAAGATTGCTTGCCAGCTTATTTTAATAGATCACAAATTTGAGAATATGCCCAAACACACATTTCACAAACATTTTCATACGAATAGTTTGAGCACGCTTCAAAGCAAGTGCTATTTAGACAAAAAGAGCAAGTCCACAAGTCTCTCGGGGCTTGCCATTTGTCTCCACAGACTCCAGACTACAGAGCATTTGTTTATGCTGGGCAAAGCTCCAGCCAGAAGAGCTATTTGTTTCTGACTGAGCCCTGACTGTGTAGGGCCTTGGAAAAGAGTAGAATAAGTTGCTATCTCTGCCCCAAACACATTCCAAGATCTACAGAAGGACAGAACGGAAGGACAAGTAACACAGAAAACAGAAGGTAGGAGCTACATCTCCAGCCTCACCCTACTTCATGCCTTTGTCGAGCTGCTGGAGCTCACAACCCTAAGGAGGGATGGAGTTACTTTCCTCCCCTCCAGCCCTGAACTAACAGCAGACTCCACGTGATTAAAGTGATGCAGTCCATCTTACTCTGACCACCAACAGGAAGTCTTCTGGGAGTTGTTAATCCAACTACAGAAAGAAACAGATTCCTTTTGACAGGTATCAAATCCTGCCAAGAGATGGAGTGTGGGAGTCATTTCAGTAAGAAACAGCATGAGTAACTACTTGTGGACACTTATTCCAAAGAGTGCCTCCAATTTCACTTCTAGAAGTGGTTTAAGTTGAACCACAAAGAGGCTCTTTGTGCAGCAAAAGCATCCACATGAGGTAAACACATGAAATAGCTTAAGTTCAAGTTCACATCCCAGCTTGTTTTGCAGACAAGTCTTTAACTACTTAAGTTCTTGAACAATGTAACAAGTGTAATTGATGTTCAAGCTCTATTTTTGTTCGTTTGTTTAAACAAAGGAGTCACTAGGAAGCCTCAGAGAGCAAGGGTAGACAAACAAGCCCAACCTCCTCTAATGAAGGAATGAAATCCCTTACCCACTGTTTTTCCTTCTTCTGCACGTGGGTTTCCAGCAAATCTTCCTCATCCATGTTTTTTAGACTCTAAGAAGTGAGCACAAGAGGTCATCACATTGAGCTGTCCAGTGCTTTCCCGTTTATCCAGTATAAATTATTAATGGTGACTCGAAAAGCTTAGAGGGCCCCAACACCCAAACATTCACAATTTACAATAAATAGTGTGGTGCACAGAAATGTTCCATATCATGAAAACAGACCATCAGCTAGGTACTCCATTTCTAGTGCAATGGAAAGATTATAACTACATCAATTTATGGAGGTAGAAGGCATAGTAGATAAGGGGTGATGCCAAATATACCTCTTTGGAGGTCTGGATGATGGACACAAGCTTCTGAAGTTCAATAAATTCAGAAAAAAGACTCTTACAGGTCATTTTGTAATGACTGGTAGCCTCAGAAGGCATGGACAGGTGATGCTCACAGGCCTGAAAGAAGTGGAACTGTTTAAAAGAAATCTTGAAATAAAAACACATGAAGGTTGAAGAAAGCAAAATCCTTTTTTTCCCCTCAATCAGTGGTTAAAAATCATTTCCCTCATTGTTCCTTTGTATCTTTTTGTTTATTTTACTGTAGCTGCAGAGGAGCAAAGAAGTAAAATGCCAAATCTTATATTTACAATAACTTCAGTACTTGTGTGATTTATATATCCTGATCTGTGATTTATATATCCTGATCTCCACAAGCTGTGCTTTGAAATAAGTACCTGGAAGGGAAAGCTTCCAAACCACAACAAAACACAGCAGGTGGAGTCACTTGTCATCTCATTTTATCCCTTGGCACCCTACCCTGCTTACACCAGGGCTCCGACGATTTCTTGTTTTCTTAAATTACAGCTGAGAGGAGGCTATTAGTTTCAGCTGTGGCATTCAAATCCTCTTGCAGCAACCAAATATTACGGACAAGTGACTCGTTTCAATATCTGTAGTCTTCTAGGTATTGAACACTACTGTTGGAGACTACATATTGAAGAACCTTGTAGACAAAGCTGTGAGAGCCATGTTCAGACTTCCTCCTTAGTTTCTTTTCCATAGACATTTGAGTGCACCTCAGAGGTTTTAAACCTTCCACCTCTGAGAGAAAAGCTACACCTTCCCCCCATCCAACAAACTGCCCAGCTACTCCCCAGAAACAGCCTGTCAGCATGATTAGCCCTCAGCTCCTCTAAAGCAGCTGTGTTTACTGAGCAAGAAGAAGAAAACCTTGATAACATCCTGCAGGGTGACTATTGGCTTCATTCCCTCATCATCCAGTTTCAACATGAGGCAGAGCAGTTTATCCAGCGGATCACTCAGTTCTCGCTCAACTTGGCTGTCAATTCCCCAGTCCAGAGCTTCATAGATCACCACTCCCAGGTACTCCAGCAGCTGCAGACAGAAGCCAAGGAAGCAGTACAACTCCACAGCCTTCACTTCCCTATTGCTGCTGCCCCACAGGGCTGAGCACATCTCTCAGGGTGAGAGGAGCTCAAAAAGCAACTGACTGCTCTTCAAGTAGCCTGGGACACTCCCCAGTGAGCTATGTTAAGCTTTTAAAAGGCCTTATCTAGAACCTCTAAATGATGACACCAGGACAAAAAGCCTATACGCTATTCCACAGTAGCAGCACTAGTGCACGCTGTTTGTTTCCCAGTCCCAAAGTCTTACTGGAGCTCACTCCTAACATTTTATTTCATTTTTCAGATTACAGGGACAGTCACGCCCACAGTACCCAGTAAATGTAAATACCTTTACAGTTTTAGGCAATTAGATGCCTGCATCTCCCATGCTGGCTTTCTACATGGCAGGATTATATCCGCATGTATACAAAAGCAAAGACACAGGCTTACCTTGTCCTCTGACTGCTGAATGCTGCCAGCATCTGAAAGGGAAACAAGAGAAGGTAGGGCAGGATGATCACTGCACAGGCATTGATCAACAGTTTTTAGATAAGCAGGCTTATTTTTTCAAGAATCCTGCCAAGCAATGCAAGATACCCTTTATTTACTGTGACCATTAGCTCCAATTTAAGTACCACTGGTTAGTTTCTTTCCTTTGTTAGTACATATCTAATCACAAGGAAGGCAATGGATCTTTGTCTTCATTCTTTACTACTCGCTCTTGTCCCTGCAGAGTCTAGCAATGAACTCCACAGTCAGAAAAATTTTATCAGAAAAATTAGCAGGCATATCTGCATTACATCTTATATATAAACCTTTAAAATAAAGTACAGACAGAAGAGCAGCCTATATAGTGAGAACAACCTGAGCATACAGAGAAGGGGAAAAATAAAAAGCTTTTATCCGCTTTGTCCCTAAATTTCAACCAATTACAGAAACAACCCCTGGCATCCACAGCTACTTATACTCTTACCAGACTTATGATACACCCGGAAGGAAACAGTGCCATCAGCATGAATAAAGATGCTCCCAGGACCTTTTATGAATACAGAATGGAGTGATGGGTACAGCCCTTGGGCTAATTCTTTCATTCTGCAGCAGCACTGAAAGCAAATAGCCCAGGCTTGCTCTTCGCTTATAGGGTGCTCAAAGCACCTCAAAATCTCAGCTAGAGAGACCTTTGCAGCCCTCTGCTCACAGCATGGAGACTCCATGTTCATTTTTACAACTCTTTACTAGACTAGGAAGCTTAACAGCCTTGTTCCCAGGACAAGAGAATGCTCAGGCAGCAGCCTTTTACCAGTTCTGACTCAAGGTTTGTTCCCTCACACACTCTGCCACACACAGGTGTGAACACTAATGCCAATTTTACTCTAGCTTTTTAAAGGGACACCACTTAAATTTGCATTTGCACAAACCTCTTTGAAGGAAAAAACAGGAAGCATTTAACAAATTGGATTCTAAAATAATGAGATGGGTCAAAATTTGTACTCAGTTTAATGTAGTTGTCTACAGCAAATATATTAATGGCGATGCTAGTAGGTGAGTGAACATTTATCTTTGACTCAAGTGTGAGGAAATAGCGATAGGACAAGGGGGAATGGTTTTAAACTGAGACAGGGAAGATTTAGGTTAGATATTAGGAGGAAGTTTTTCACACAGAGGTGGTGACGCACTGAACAGGTTGCCCAAGGAGGCTGTGGATGCCCCATCCCTGGAGGCATTCAAGGCCAGGCTGGATGTGGCTCTGGGCAGCCTGGTCTGCTGGTTGGCGACCCTGCACATACAGGGGGGTTGAAACTACATGATCATTGTGGTCCTTTTCAACCCAGGCCATTCTATGGTGCTATGAAATGTCTTGAAGTGCAGCCCCATCAGTGTTGCATACAGAAAGGCCATCACCTCCCTGCTGCTGCTGGCTGCACATCTCTTGATACAAGCCAAGAGTGCAGCTGGCCTTGGCCATCTGGGCACACTGCTGGATGACGTTCAGCCGGTTGTCAGCTAACACCTCCAAATCGTTTTCTGCAGCACAGCGTTCCAACCGCTCTGCCCCAAGCCTTCAGCCTTTAGCTTGGCACTGCGAAGGGGACCATGGACTTGGGCTGGGATCAGGCACCCGAGCGCACACTCAGTCCCTCTTCCCCGCCCCAAATGCCGACTGCTGCTCACGTGAAGCACATCGCCGTGTTTTGTGTTGTGAGATCTGGGCATTGCGTGATGGCAGAGGACAGCCAACAGGACTTGTGTCACCGCCCGACGGGCTGCCGCCGCAGCGCATCGCAAGGGCCGTCAGCTGCTGCACCCTCCTTTCCGAGCAGCCCAAACGGCAACGCTCCATGCACGCTGGGAACGCCGGGGGTGACTGAGTGCAGACCGCACCCCCGCCCGCACGTCCCGCCCCGCGCAGCGCCGCCCCGCACAGGGAAAGATGGCGGCGCCCGAAGCGGCGTGGAACCGCGTGGACGTGCCGTGGCCCGCTAGCAGCAGCGCGGTGGCCGTGACCGCCCAGCACCCCGCAGGTCCCCGGCTCGGTTGCCGGACCGCGCGGCCGGGATAGAGTGGGGAGGGGCGGAGGCACCGGAGCCGGAGAGGCCGCAGGGAGGGCCGGGAGGGGGAAGGCGACCCTGGGTGTGCGGAGTCTGGGGCGGGGAGCGCGCGTGGGGAACAGCAGTGCGCGTGGTCGTTGCTGAGTGCCTCCCGTTCGCAGTGAGCTGCCTGCCGGCCCTGCGGCGGCGCTGCGTTGGCGCCCTGAAGCGGCTGTCCGGGCCGGGCCTGGCCGCCGAGGGACGCGTCTTGCGGGCCCTGCTCTACGTCTTCCACAGCAGGCTGCTGCGGCACCGGCCTTACCTCGCTATGCAGCAGGTGAGCGGCGGGCAACCTGCCTTGAACACCTCCAGGGACGGGGCATCCACAACCTCTCTGGGCAGCCTGTTCCAGCACCTCACCACTCTCTCTGTAAAGAACTTCCCTTTGACATCCAACCTGAATCTTCCCTCCCTCAACTGAAAACCATTTCCCCTCATCCTGCAGTTACCTACTCTTTCAAAGAGTTGATTCCCTCCTGTTTGTAGGCTCCCTTTAGGTACTGAAAGGCTGCAAGCCCTGCAGCCTTCTTTTCTCCAGGCCCAGCTCCCTCAGCCTGTCCTCATAGGGGAGGTGCTCCATCTTTGGATCATCTTTGTGGCTCTCCTCTGGACCTCTCCAACAGCTCTCTGTCTTGTACTGGGGGCTCCAGACCTGGACACAGTACTCCAGATGGGGCCTCACAAGAGCAGAGTAGAGAGCGACAATCACCTCCCTGTCCCTGCTGGCCACCCCTCTTCTGATGGAGCCCAGGATATCATTTGCTTTCTGAGCTGCAAGAGCATAATGCTGGCTCATGTTAAGCTTTTTATCCATCAGAACCCCCAGGTCCTTCTCTGCAGGGCTGCTCTCAAGGTCTGCTCATTGATTCTTAGGATTCCTTCAGCCCAAGTGCAAAACCACGGATGGTTTGTGCACACCATGCACTGGTCCCAGAATGGGCCTGGGACATCGTGCAAAGCAGAGCTCTATTTCAGCTGGTGTGTCTTGGAGCCTCATGCTATTTGATTCAGCTGGGAGGGGGGAGGTTTGTGTGTGGAAGAACAAATGCAGGCTGTTCTGTCGGGCACTGCCTCTCCTAAGGCAGAAGCTTAACTCTTCAGCAGTTCTGTAGTAAAGGGATTGCCATAGTCTTCAAATAACTATGCTGAAATAAAACAGCAGTCATTCTTACCTTCTTGATTCATTTGTTCTTTATTGTTTTTGAAAGACTGGTTACATCCCAAACACATTCCATTGTTAATATTTCAGAAACCTCTGTACTTTATCCCCATCATGCTGCATTATCACAGAGACACAGAATAGCATGGATTGTAAGGGACCCATAAGGATCGATGAGTGCAACTCCTGGCTCCATGCAGAACCACCCAAAAATCAGACCGTATGCCTCAGAGCATTGTCTAAATGCTTCTTGAACTCCATTTATATGCTGCAGGAGAAACCATGCAGTGCCAATGAACAGTGACCTGCTCCTGCTCGTAATTCCCTGTTCACAGTAAGGTGATAAAGGGGTCTCTTCTGCACAGTGCAGATATGGGAACATGACTGCATCACACAAACCTGCAATTTGCTATTAAACTGATGAGAGGAAGGTGTCACTTAAAATACTGACTGCTCTTAGACAAGGGCATTTTTGTCTCAGAACACCAGCTGAAGGACTTTCCTTTTTTTTTCTTCTTTTTTTTTCCCTTTTTTTTCCTAGGTAGAACAATGCTTGAAGCGCCTGTGGAAAATGAACTTGGTGGGCTGCATTGAAACCCTGGCAGAACTGATTCCCAGGTAGGTATTGCATATGTGACCCTGTATGCAATACTACCCATTGATCAGCCTACGGAACTGAAGGCCTCCTTCAGTTGCTATGCTAGATTCAGTTGCAGATGCTAGATCACAGACGTCTCCTTGCCCTTGTCTTGTCACAGGAAAAATAAAGCCGAGGCCCAAGCGGAGTGCTTAGTTCCCAGCCAGCCTATGCTGGAAACGGTGGCCGTGAAGGTGCTGGGAGGCTGTAAGCTCATACTGCGTCTGCTAGACTGTTGCTGTAAAGCATTTCTGTATCCTTTTTGCACTATGTAAACATTCTTACAGTTCACCGGCAGCACTTCACGAGGCCAAAGTAAGGTCTGCTGTAGGCTCTGTAGTGCTGGTGGACTCCACTGTGCAATTCATTTGTGCATGTTGAAGATTCTTTGATAGCCAGACATCTTATTTTCAAGTTATTAGGTAGGAACCTCAGGCTGTTGGCTGGCTGCTGTTCCAGCCTTGAGAAACCCAAAGTTTGGATACATATCTCCCAAATTATTCAGGATATTGCCTTGTGAATTGCCTGTAGTTGGTGTGTTCAGCAAGTTTCATTACATACTGTTTATTCTTTAACCTTAACTGGTGTAATCTTCAGCTTGTCTGTTAAACATCTCTGTTCAGAAGAATTCATACTTTTGAACACCGTGGCTTCAGGCTTGTTGAGCCGGCTATGGTTTGTGTATTTGAGTTTGCTGTCTTTTTGACATGCCTGTCAGGGAGAAAGCTTGTGATTAGAGCATTGCTGCTGAGTGAGCTTTATTCAGCTAGGAGGAGAGAGGAAAAAGATCTTATAAATCAGAGATCCCTCCATCCTTTTGGACTCGATTCTAGCACCTGAAGAGTTGTGTGAGTGGAGAGTGCTGTTTTGGAAGGCTTTGTTCTTTGTTCATCATAAGCTTTTTGGAGTGCTAATAAAAACACAGCATTACTGCTAGCCTGCCAGACACTGACGTCTGGCAGTCTGCAGCAAGCAGTACATCTGCCTCATGCTGACATGGAAAGGCTGTGATAAAGTTGCTCACTAATAATTTTCCTGGAAAATCATTGTTCTGGTCAGAGCAGCACTAAGAAATAACTACTGCCTGTAACTGAGGAAGTAACAGGACTGTGCACAAGAACTTGCTAAAATTGTTTTTCACATAAGAAATCTCTTTTTCCCCAGCAAACACAGAGCATCAGTGCAAGCACAAGTGTCCTGAGTCCACGTGCACTGCTCATTAGAAAGACCTCTTGTGAAATGATTTGTGCACGTTGTGAGAGCCTGCACTCTACAAAGCTGTAGGACCAGTCACATCAGTCCTGTGCTGTGGTCATGAATGTGCCTGAAAGATGGAAGGTGTTTTGGCAGGAGAGGCTCAGGCTAGTATTAAAGGAAAATGTGATGGAATGTAAAAAGAAGGGCCTCTACTGGATGGAGAACAAAGGGAAAGGGCAGTTTGAAATGTGATTTTTTTTATAGTCAACTCTTCCCCTTGAGTTCAAGGCAATTGTTCAGTGAATATAAGCACAAGTTCTTGCTAGGGGAGAGTCTACACCTTTGTCTTCTCCCTTCAGGATTCAATACAGGTGTGTACTGCAGAGCCTCATCTCCCTGTATGGCGTGGTATCAACATCACTTCATCTGGTGTCTGAGACCCAGCAGATGCCTTACATCAAGGGATTTACCTTCCCTTCTGATATCAGTAGCTTTCTTGGAGTTAACCTTTCTTCTGAGGTGAAGAAACAAAAAGCTAAAATGCTTACAGCAAAAAGACCTACCAGCTGGCTGAAGAAGCTCTTCCCAACCACGTCAGAAGCAGTGTCAAAGGTTGGGAAAAAGAGAGGTTTTGTGACCCCTGCAAGTGCTGTGAAAAACCACAGCATCCCTGCAGATGACATTGGAGAACCCGTTCTGGCAACCAGAGACAGCAGAGGTAAAGTCTTTTGCCACAGTGCTACTGGTTTCTGAGATCTGAGACTGGCTGCAGCTTTGTCTAACAGAGCCAAGCACTTTTACTACCCAGAGTGTGGTTCTGGTACTAACTCCCCTCTCTTGTCCTTGGAAGAGGATGAGAATGCTGCATGCACCTTTGATTTTATAAAGCTGTAGATAATGTCAGTACTGGGGAAGAACTGTTTTTAAACAACACAGCAAAGAGAGAAGCAGGTAATGAATGCTGTGTACAGGTCCTGTATTTTCTTGCTTCTGTATAATTGGGGCCCAAGTATGGCAAGGGATGCAAAGTCCACACGAGTATGTAACATTATGATACAGAGGGCACGTAGCCCAGAACTAGCAATCTTCTCTTGCAGTCAGGCCTACGGTTGGCAGTGACAGTCATGCATCTGGATATGTGCATGAAGCTTTTATACATGCAAGCTCACCCTTACAGCCACCTGTAAATCTGCATCTTCTTCATCCCTTGCTAGTTACCATGCAGGATGATGAAACACTTGTAAGTGCTGAGTATAGGCATGAGTCTGCTGAGACAGTGGAGAGCTGAGAGCTCAGCAGGGCAAAGCATTACAGTGTCTTTGTGCAAGGTCCTAAAACTCTTTGCTTAATGGGAACTCTTCTCTTTCTGTAGGGAACCACCTGCGGTTTGATGTGAAGAGTTTGCTTAGACCATCCAGACCTCCAGTACAAAGGGTTTGTATGCCACCATTTTACAGGAGTTTGCTTTTCTGTTGGCTTTTTTTTTTTAATTTGCTCTAAAGAGCCTGGCACTTGATACCTTTATGATGGAAGATGTCCCCTTTCCTTGCCTTATGTTATTCATCTAACAGGTCATTCTGTTACGAAAGCACTTGTTGGTTTGTCAAATGAAGTGACCAGAGAGGAAGTCAGTAGACAGGAATAGAAATGCTCATTGTGTGTCTCTCCTTAAGAAATGCAAAACACAGTGCTTTGCTCCACTCCAGCAGAGGATCAAACACCTCGTGTTTTTAGAAACCCAACTATTTTTGTTCTTTGTTTCAGGGTAGATGCACGACATCAAAACCTTTTAAAGAAACATCAGTGTCACTTTCCTCTTCTGTGGCAAAATTGCAGCATGCTGGGCCTTTCGTACAGATGTTTCAAACAGCTGCATCTTTTGGTGAGCTGTCAGAGGCACTCAGAAAAGCTATTCTGTGGTGCAAAGGCAATAAACTCAAATCAGCAGCTTATTTTCTGCGCAGCAAGTTGTTGAAAAGCAATCGGCTGCACCACGTGGAGGCGCAAGGATGCAGGTATTTTTCCTGAGTCTGGGGGTTCTGGATCTGACTTTCTATAGTTTAACTTCACGTGTTTTGCTACAAGGCAGAGAAATACTGTGGTCTAACCTATTTTTTTGAGCTTGAGCACGATCACACCTTCAGGTCACTAGAACTGCTGATATGAATACTCTGTTTAGCTTCACTTGTGAGAGGATTTAAAAAGTTACTAAGTGCATGAATACATAATAAAGAGGGAGGATGAAAATGCAGCTTAGATTATGTGCATGTATAATGATGCTGGATGACGTAAAGGGCATCAGATTTCTTGAGAATGCTATGGCTACCACTGTACAAGATGCTGTTTCATTTCCTGGCTATGACAAATGAAATGGTAAGAGAATGCCCTTATCTATATCTCTGAAAAGACCAGAAGTAACAGTAACAGCTGTTAAAGTTCTCTTTTGTACATCTGCCTTTCTCTTAAGCTTGCAGAAGAAACTGTGCTGTGTCAAAACAACGCTCTGTAAATACCTCCTGCGTGGCTCACAGAACACAAGCTGGCCAAAGCAGTACCGTGGGGCATGGTTCTTTCAAAGGAGGGCAAAATTCTCCAAGTGCTCAAAGAGAATTCTGAAGACTGTTCAGCAAAAACATTCTGAGCTTTTTGGGGACCATGTGAGCAGTGTTTCACCCATCGTGAGGCCTTCAAGTTGGAAAGGATGTCCCATCATTCATACAGCCTCTGTGAAACAAAGTACAGCAGGGACTCCTAAACAGCTGCTGTTAAAAGAAAGCCCCGAGTCTGTGCACAAAGATTCTGAGAATGTGGATATTGATTCTATTTTTGCAGTAATGGGTGTCTGATTCTGGACTGGGAAGAAGAAACATGTCTCGTTTTTCTAAGTAGAACTCGGAATGCCTCTAAGTGTCTTGGTACCTCATACACCAAGTTCTGCTAACAAAGGAATAACTATCTTATTTTTTTTTAAGTTTTTTTTTCCTTTTTTATGGAACAGTGTTCAAAACAGATGAGTAATCTTTATCCTTTTACCCAGCCTTGTCCAGGGACTGCAGCTTTGAGTTACTTCCTACTCAGTGCCTTTTCCCTTTTGCTGGGACCACCTGTTATTCGTGCTGTGCATTCAACAGCACTTAATTACCACCCAAGGCAGAAAGCTGCAGCTGATCACTTGCTGCTGCTCAGGCCTAAAGATCTGCACCTTCTCCATAAAGTGTTATAACTCCTCTCTTGCTGTTTGTACAGACAACAGCCTTGACTTGCAGTGTTTTCACCGTTCTATACTTGTTATCCTTGTCCTGAAAAGAAGTTAACCAAATCCTGTTGCTTTGGAAATAGGGCAAAGCACAGCCAGAGCCTGCAAGAGTAAACCTACCTTTGAACAAGTCCTCCAGTGTCCTGAAGTCTTTTCAGTATGCAATTTTTGCCTGCTTGGCAAAGCGAAGTGTAGCTATTCCAGCACATATTTATTGCTTGCTCTAACACCATTTCACATGCTTAGTGCTTTCCATCAGGCTCTTAATTACCTGGTGATCCTGATCTTGGGGTTATTTATTTGAAAAACTTCTCTGAATGAAGTCAAACCAGCTTTATAGCTGAGCATCTGCCCAACAGGGGTAAGGAAGGGGTCTAAGAGCAAGTAAATCTGGAACAGGTTAATTTCAGTTCTCTAAATATACGGTAGAGAACAGCAGAGCTATGTCTACTAGGACAGAAACTGCACTTCAGAGCCCATGAGATGCTAGAAGAGCTCATACTTTTTTATGTGCCCTGTGTTAACTGGTCAATATAAGTTCAGTCTCTGAAGAGTGGGCACAGACTTGAGCTGTTTTATTCAAGGATTATATACAGAGCAGAATTTTTAATAGTTTTGGCTTGAAAACTTCGTTCGTCCAGTTAACCAAGATCTATTTTCCAGGTTTCTTGTCAACAGAATACCTGGCAATAACCAAAGTAAAGAAGAACTTGGGCCTTCTAGATGCCAGATTCAACAGTCCCACAGCAAACAGACTTCTCACCTTTAAAGAATCCTTAGAGCTCATTTCTCAAATTCACAGAATGGTATAAAAACACATTAGGAATAACACGTGCAATCAGGTAACACCTGGCTGCTTTGAATGCCTACCACAAGAGGTTGAGAGGCAGGGCAGATATCCCAGCAGCAATGATCTCCACCTCAAATAAACCCCTGAAAGCAACACATGTGACATTTCTTCTTCTTACAGGAGCCCACAGCATGCCCCCGTGAAGCCTGTACGCAGCATCAAGATCCATAATTTGCTTCATCAAAGGCCTTTCTGGCACGTTTCAGTTCTTCATTCATAGTCAGAAGGTCTTTAACTCTGGCAAACTTCCGGGGGTCCTTCCGGATTAGGAAGACAATGTCCTCAACCTGTACACGGCCCTGCCGTCCAATTGACATGGCCTTATGTGTCTGCAAGAGAGAAAAATCAGTGTTCCTCTACCCCTTTTAGTTTTTTTCTGATCTCAATCCCACTGTATTCCCTGTCATTTTTAACAGTCTAGAAGCAACAAGTGCAGGATGTGGGCATTGCCATCCAAGTCCCAGAAGAACTTACAAGTGCAGTACCTCATATGCGTTGGGTACCACTCTACAGGAATGCCTTTGGAACTGAAGCCGGACTGGGGAGGAAACACCTGATCTGCAAAGTGCTTGAGGAAACAACAACATCAAGCAGAGTCTGCATGCAGTGTGCAGTACCTGCATCAGAGGAAAGTCTGGTGTTCTGTTGAGGGTAGGCAAGGCTAACTTCTCATGAGAAGAGATCCACAAACAATACCACTTATTTTCTGTTCTTGTTTATCACAAGTGCTCAAGTAGTATCCACGTGTCTGGATCAGCTTTAGGGCCCAGACGACTGCACTTATTTTATGGCATGGGATTGCATTCCCATCTGTGTAAAGGCACTGAGAGAACACACGCAGCGGACAACCTTTCAAAACTGAGCCATTTGTCAGCAGAACACATAGTGATGCCACAGGGCACCTCAAAGTCAGCTGTAGATTTTTTCCTCTGCTACTTAAAGGCTCCAAACTCTGCCCTAAATCCATGTGCAATAAAGTGCATTAATTTTGTCTTAATATTCAAAGAGCAACATCTGAGTTTAGATTTCTTCCTAGCTGGAACTGAGTTTTTGCCTGGAATACCGCTGTCATTGAAGCAGAGGGAGCCAAAGCAGGCTCCCTAGATCAGGTTGCACAGGTAGGAGTCCGGGTGGGTCCTGAACATCTCCTGAGAAGGAGACTCCACAACCCCTCTGGGCAGCCTGTTCCAGTGCTCCGTCACCCTCACCGTGAAGAAGTACTGTGCACATTTGTGCAGAAGCTCCTATACTCCAGTTTGTGGCCATTTCCCTTTGTCATATTGCCACACACCACTGAAAGGAGTCCAACCTTGTCTCTTTTCCTCCCACACCTTAGATATTTATAGACATTGATCAGATCCCCTCTCAGTCTTCTTTTCCAAAGCTGAACAGAGCCGCCTTCAGTACACCACCTCTGGCTGACTTACCATTTCTGTGATAAATTCTATCACCAGGTCCTCAAGAATGTCCACAGATTCTGTGTAAGGGTTCTGGTCATCCCCGAATCCGTACATCATACATCTTACTGCAGGAAGATACACAGCGTGAGGCCTCCGTCTGCTCAGCACATCAGCAAAGCTCCCATCCCGAGCTCCCGCCCAGTCACCACAGCAGGACGGTACCCACTCCCGGCAGGCAGGAGTGCAGGGAACACGTAGGCAGAAGCCAACAAAATCCCAGCAGCGCGCACGGAACGGGATGTCAGACAGCAGCATGCTGGGCCGGCCCCACACCGAACGCTTTACCGGCCCCGGGGCAGCTAGCGCGGCGGGTAACACACCGCCCCGGCAGCCCCCGCCTGGACTCACGTTCTTTAGAAAAGAGCCTCTTCCTCTTGCCCTGCCCGCCGTCCAGTCCGCCGCCGGCTTCCTCGGAGTCCTCCTCGAACTGGAGGGGCACAGCGGAGGAAGGAGACCGTTAGACGGGGAGCCCCCTCCCGCCCTACGGCTAGACGCGTGGCCGCTCGCCCCACACAAACAACCCGCAACCCCCCGCCGCTCACCGGCGCATCCTCCTCCTCGTCAGCCATGGCCACCACAGCCCGCCACCGCTTCCGGCCGAGGACGGAAGACCTTCCGGTTGCTCCGTCCCGCCTCCCACGGGGGCTGCCATCTTGTTGTGCCGAACCATTCTCTTAGAGCGCTTTCTTCTCCTGCCCTGACCAGTTCTTGCACTTGAAGACCTGCCGGCTTCCCTGAGTGTCTTTGCCCTTCAGAAACGCTTTCCATGGGATCCCGCGTAGAGTTTTCTCAGTATGTTTATATCACAGATTCTATGTCCAGGATCTGCTATGCTCCTGACGCTCAAGATCCTTGTCTGTAGCACTCGTATCGCAGTGCTACTCTTCCTTTCTCCCAAAGCTTGCAAAGAAGGCACGTTTGTCTGCAGGGAGTGATTAGGAGACTGCTAATACAGCATCTACCTCTGGTTAGCAGTTGACAGTTCCTGTACACTTGTAGTATCATAATGAGTATAAATCTAGGGAATCTGCAGATAAGAAAAGCAGTGGATATGCTAAATCAAATCTCAAAAATCAATTTCAGTCTCTGACTTTCATTTTAGAAAAGATAGTATTGGAGTATCAGTGGAGCTTTCTTGCAGGTAGCGAGGCACTGGAAGAGCGCAGGTCACTTTGTGACAAGGTTTTCTGGATAAAGGATCTTAAATAAATGCTCCAAATTCCTTTTCAGCATGTCAGTGGCTTGGGCAAGAAGACACAAGCTTTTGCTGATGCATAGGTCTGTCCAGAAAAGCTGAAGATGAAATTTGACAATATAAGGTAAATGCTACAGTTACAGTACCCCGTTCCACGCCCTGTCAGGAGGAGGCTCTGCAGAGATCCACTCCTGTTTCTTTCTGACTCAGTTTTTCAGCATGATTTTGGGTAAATTCCTCCTCCTACGTACATGGATCATGGCAGATTACTTGAATTTCACAACTTGAATTTCAGCACTGAACAATGTGAGTTCTTGTGGAGAACGTCACTTTAAAACATCTTTAGGACTTTTCCTAAATGATGGAGTATTGTGTGGAACATTACCACTGTTTTATTAAGCAGTGTGACATACACAAAGTGGCTTTAGGTATCCTGTTTGCTAGGCATTTATGCTTGGAGATACCTTTCAGGCAACCTGTTGCGCTTAACAGAACAGTTACAGTTTAGGGAAGAGTAATGGCTGCTGGTTTGCATCATGGGGAATGATACCTTGGTAACTTAAGCTATTCAGAAGATTTTTCTTTAGGAAGCTGAAGAAGAGGAAGAAAAAGATGCAGCTGAGGTGATGACACTGGAGAAACAAAACCAGTAGACAGTAGAGTCAAGAAGATGGAAGACAGAAGGATCTCAAGAAGTAAATTCAAAGGAAGTGAATACACTGCTTTGAGGTGTCTGAGATTAAACAGCCTTCCCCAGGGCAGTCTGTGGCTGCTGCCAGCAGGAGATACCACTTGCCTGAGGGCAGCAGTCCAGCAGTACTGTGGTCACAGGAACCACTGGGGAACAGCATCAGCACAAATAGCCACGTGGTGCACAAATGATATAGTGTATTATTAGAATACAAAAACATGAATTATCATCTTCCCTATTAAACTAAATAGTTAATGGCTGTTCAATAATTACCTTATTGAGCACAACAGTTTTCTATGCTTATGTAAGATTTGAGTAGCTATATCTGAAGTAATTAAAAATCAAGTATTTAACAAATGCTTGAACAGCGTTAAATTAGTATTAAAATGGAACAGTGCATACAGGCTTAACATTTTGGCTAATTCAGTAAGAGATACAATAGTTAGCAAACCCAATATTAAAAATCACTTGTGCACGTAAGGGAAGGGTACTTCTTTTGGTTTTGATACAGCTGGCTGTAAATTGATGAGATGGCAATAAAACAGATGTTACATGGAATGGTTTCAGGATCTCTCCTTCAGTTTGCTGCCAGGCCCACCACTTATCAGCGAGTGAACGAAAGAGAGAACTTCTGTGTCCACAGCCTCAGAAAATGCAATTCTTCATTCAGCAACACAGCACACTCCTAAGAACTTGGCAAGAAAGTCTACTTGCCAGTGTGTCACAACTGTTTAGCCAAAGCATGCACTAAAATGCTTGAACATGTAAATCCTGCTTAATTTGATTTTATTTACTGTTACACCTGTCACAGAGGCATTGATTCTTGCACACAACAAACTGAGGCCTTGAAGATTACAGCTTCTTTGACTACAATGATGCCTTTGAAAGACACTGGTTTTAAGATACTAATACACGCTTATTCCTGAAATGTTGACATGCACGTCAACATCTCTCTAGATCCTACTGTATTTATTTCTAGAATCAAACACCCACAGGCAGTTTGCTTTGGAGCATTTTGGGATTAGAAACAAAACAGTAGAGTTTTACAGGCTTGATCTCTGCTTACATGTAGAAACTGGAGATCCACATCTCTCTACAGTATTCCTCACCTTGCCACTTCCAACATATCCGCTGGAAACAAACTCTGCTTCAAATCTAATCTGAGAGTTACAAGAAATTCCTTAATGTAGCAAACAGTAGAAACACCACCTTCAAGCCTCAGAGTGGTTTATGAAAGAATTACCTTTTCTTGAGATTTAAACACTTAATGTAAGTTAGCTTGAACAACTGCATACACAGAATTGGCAGTCTTAAGACAGGACGAGTCCCAGGGCATGACACAGGCACTTACTAGCTTTGGTCTAAATTCCTGTGCACAACTACTGCTATTTAATGGCAGTTCTTTTTGTAGATTCTGTACAAGCTCTGGTTTCCCCCACATTGTACTCTTAGGTACAGCGCTTGTGGGACCTCAGTATTGTGCTTCAACTCCCAGCACAGGACAGATGCAGGTAACAGACCCATCTCTGATAACTCAGCTGAGGGCAGCTGCAGAACTTCAAGTGGGATTTAAAACAGAAGGTAGATGCAGCACCGAGTGATGATAAAGTGCAGGAGGAGAGAGTTCCGCTAGGTGTTGTTCATTTATCACCACTGTTTCAAGCCAACCAGAAGGCAGATCCCATAAAGTAGGTTTCCTTTCCTGCATCCACCAGGAACAAGGACAACTGGACGTACACAAGCGAGGCATGCTATCGTGCTGAACCTATGGAATGCACAATGCAGAGGAGTTACAAAGGTGCAAAAATACAAGAAGTTTCCAAAAAGCCTTTTGCAAACAAAGCATTGACTGTTTTCACTCTGGATAGCCTTAGAGCAGGCAGAGTGCCCATGTGCTAGTTTAAACTTCTAGATGTCATTCAGCTCAACAAGGCAAGTTTAGTTCACTTAACATACAGCCGTGTTTTTTTTCATTTCTAAACTAAATGCTTTTTTATTAATGAGATTACTGGGCTACCTGTAGTATTCTAAATACAGGTGCAGTGAATTTTTGAACGTTTACCTGAAGGGAGATGGAGTCCTTTATTAAAACCTGGCTGCTCTGGAAGTTCTCTGATTATTTATTTTTCCTCCACTGACACGAATACATAGGTTTTGTGTAGTACCCAGGATTCATTCACAGTGCAAATGTCTTGAATTAATGAGTTTATTAAACAAAAAGCTTACCATTAAAAACATTACCTTAGACAAAAATTTATACAAGCTTATCCAAAAATAATTTTGGTGCTTCAGATTCTTACAACAAAATTCCAGACCTCTGGTTTTGGTACCTTTTGTTCCAGATGAGCTGAGCAGACCAGGAGCCAGACTTTTCAGCTGGCCTCTACAGTAGGCAGGTTTCCAGTAACATGGGCTACAAAACACCTTAGCAAGTGGACTCCTGAAAACTCCACAGAACTGTGGAAACAAAGGGATGTTCAGTGCCTGATGCTGCGTATCTAGGAGCAAGACAAGCAAATTCAACCACTGGCTGCATTAAATTAAATTTATCCCCACAGTGCAATACAACATTAATAGAGTAAGCACTTCTAATGTAATCAATTATAGCTTGTTACCGCTAGCACAGTTCCAGACAAAGGTAGCTTGGTCAGTGCAAATCATCATCCACAAGGAACAGCAGCAAGAAAAAGAACCATTACCTGACTAGGAATAGCTGAGGAAAGCAACCCTGAGTTTTCTCCTTTACAAACTTCTGGATCCCCAGCACATTCTTTAACAACAGTCCCTTGGAAGCTCGGTCAATTTTTGTTAACACCATCTGTATGGATCCAGAAAAAGACAGAGAGGAAAAGAAGATGATTTTGCTGCTAGCCTGGAACATCTGGAAGAGCTCCTGGGGCATTCTGCAAGGCAGGCAGAAAATTCTGGGTCATAGCTAACTGGGAGAAGTGGTATAATACAGTTTACCAGAACACCACCACAGCCTGCACAGGCTATAGACCTTTTCATGTTCCTTGAGCTGAGCACTGAAAAATTGTCAATAAATAAATTAAAAAAAAATCCCTCAGATGCCCCCAAACAAACCTTGGATCTATTTTATTATCAATAAAGAAGGCGGAGTGGATGGTATTACTAGTGAGGTAGGACAGCTTGCAAAAGTTCAGGTAGGAGGTACATTCCTTTATAGTTATATGCTAAAGGTAATCTAACACCAGTCAAGTTTTCCTACTGCTTCCACCTTCTCAAGAACAAAGTATTACTTACCACATAAGGAATCCCAAACTCCTCCAGCATCTCTACTGCAATAAGATCTGTGCTCTGGATTCCTACCACAGCATCGACTAATAGAAAAGTCCTCTTCAAGCTGTCAGAAATACAGGCAACAATAGTCAGCACCATTATTTTATCCTGCTGTGCTCCTGCCAAAGTCATAAGCAAGAACAAGAAATGCAAGATTTGGAGAAAGAAAAGCCAAGAAAAGCCATGCACGGCAGCTGAGAGTTCAGCATGGAGCAGCACCTTCATGTCTTCTGCTGTTCGATCTGGCTAAGCATGAGTGACTGAATAAGGGTCACCACAGAGGTTTCCAGGGAACAACTTCAGACTCATCAACATGACCACTGAATGCTGCTAGCTCTGTGGCATTTTATCTTCTGATTACATGAATCTGCAAATTAGGCATTCATCTCTCATTACTGCATTGAGGTATAGTGAAGTCCCTTACTTGTGCCGCTCCTGCAGATAAGCCTCCACCATATCCACAAAGTCTTTTGGGGCACGGTAGCCATACCCTGGCATATCCACCAAAGTGAAGTACTTCCCTACGTTGAAGAAATTCATCTTCTTTGTGTGGCCCTGGGGAGAGGATTTAGAAAAGAAGGAGATGCTAAGATGGGCAGTTAGGTGATAGCCTGAAAGTGGTCTCTGTTCCATACCCCGTACATAAGCTGTCATCTCCTCCTCACAATCCTCTATGGTTCTATCTTTAAAATAATCAACTAAAAATACCTTCACAGGTATCTTGGTTCTTTTACAAAGGGTTCTTTTACTCCATGTGCCAGGTGTGTTACGCACTAAGGCTCAGGAGCTATGCTACCTGCTTCCCACCTTTCTCTGTGCAAAAGCCAGGCCAGTGCTCTCCTTCTACTCAAGCCTTTCCCTCTTCCTCAGTCACACTGCCTGGGTTACCAGCAGCTTTTAGCCCAGAGGGACAGAAGTTATAAACAGCACTTACTGGAGTTTTTGACACTCTGACCTCCACTTCTGGAGCCAGCGAGAACAAGGCCCGGATTAACGACGACTTGCCCACGTTGCTCCGGCCGATGAAGCACACCTGTGCTAGAGAAGAGCGAGCACTTCCACACCGACCTTCAGCACGGGGCGGCCGGCACCCACCGCCGCTTTTGCAGCCGCACGTGGCACAACGGGGACAAAACCACAGCGCTGGGGTCGCCAAGCCCACCCACCCGGCCTCCCCGCTGTCCCGGCCGCGTCCTGACCTCGGGCCGCGCGGTCGTCGGGGCGTGCTCCATACGCACGGCGGAGCTCACGTAGTCGATAGCGTGACCGCGGCGGGAGGTGAAGAGCATCTCGGCGTGCTGCAGCGCGGGCAGCCCGGGCTGGAAAAGATTGAAGGCCGCCTCCTCTGCGCCGGGAGCCAGGTTGCGCGCCAGCCGCTGCAGCGGGAACATGACGCCGTCGCGGCGGCTCCGCTCCAGCTTCAACACCTGCGAGAGGCCGGCCAGCGGCAGAGGAGAGCGGCCATACGGAACCCCCGCGCGGCTCCGCGCCGCCCGCAGCAACAGCATAACGGCGGCACTGCCCGGAAGGCGGCGGGCGGGGCGGGGCGGGGCGGGGCGGGCTCGGCGCTACGCAGCGTTTAACCCGTCGGTGGCTTGCTTGGGCCGCGCTGAGTGAAGGAAAGCTGTCTTGAGCTGCACATACTTCAGTTGCTCCCAAAGCAATGCCTCCGAATTGTATTCATGGAAACGACAACGGATACAATACAGACAGTAGATATGTAGAGATATCTGTATTCCTGTTGTCCCCAGTGATGCGAACAAATCATAGACTAACAGAGAGAAAAAGCTTAGGCTGCTGACCAGGCTGGCCGTGTGTGGATATGAAGGAACAGCCTTTAGGTAACCATAGAATCGCTCAGGTTGAAAAAGACCTTAAAGGTCATCAAGTCCAACCACTATCTAACCACACTATCCTTACTTTAACAACCCACCACTAAATCATGTCCCTGAGCACCACATCCAAATGGTTTTTAAACACATCCAGGGATGGTGACTCAGCCACCTCCTTGGGGAGCCTATTACGGTGGAACAGCCTCTGACAGCTGCTTTTTGTAGTAGGCATACAGGCAGCAGTCCAACACTGCCCTTCTTAGCATTTGGGAGTTTCTGTGGCCATGGCATCCAGAGGCTGCATGTGACACAATCCAGTGATGCTGAGGGCTCTGTGGGTCACATGGGTCACAGTTCTGAGGTTTCCATTACACTGTTACACTGGGCCACCACAGTCCTCTGAACAGCTGTGCTTCTGTTTTGATACAGAGATTTGAGAATGTTTCAGGATTGCTGAAAAAATCATCAAATTTTTAGTTTATTTGCGGTTCCATTTTCAGTACATTACCTGTGAATTTTCAAATGGAATGTATAGAGTTGCAACTAAAAATCTGATCACGTCCTGCCACCAGACCTCTATTTGCCCTTCTCTTCACAGTCACACCTTATTCATGTCATCGCTTTTTGGCGGTATGTACCTTTATGAACAATTATTTTCAAGGATGAAGCACAGGAGGAGTAAAATTTCATCAAAAATCCCTATTAAACACATGGAGAAATCACTGAGAGTTGCAACCACTGCCATCGAATCAGCCCAATCTGCTGGTTTCACAAAAACAAGGTCATATATCCCACTAATTTTATACTTTTGCTGCTCTCTTTTCTGGTATGTTCTAATAAAAAACATTAAAAAATGAAAGAAGTTTTGTTACTTACATTCATTAATTATATTATATATTTTATGGTGGGCTCTCCAAAAGTAATGCCTCTTATTTTATTATGTTGGCCAACAACACCAGAGGTGGATGTTGCTGGTATGGCAGTAGAGATGGAACCTTCCTGCCAGTATTTCCTTGTGTTTCATTGCCATGTGACAGATGGCAGCAGAGGGGCAGTGTGACAGAACTGCATCTGGCATGGGAGTGTGGATGAAGCAAAGCTGTGCCACCGAGTTACTTCATGCAGAAAAAATGGCACCCACTGACATTCACTGATGCTTGCTGAACATTTGTGGAGATCCAACAGTGGATGTGAGCACAGTGAGGCAGTGAGTGGTGCGTTTCAGCAGTGATGACAGTGGGGCACCTCCGCTGGTGCAGGTTTTCACGAGTGTGGTACGCAGGGCAGGCTCCTGTTCATTGCTCGCAAAAATTCACAGCTAATCTGGTTACTATTTTGAAAACTAGTGTTTTGTCGCTGAGAATTTGCTCAATCAAATAGTGTTATTGTGCTCTTTGTATCTGTTGTAGTTTCCATGGATATAATTAGGAGCCATTACTTCAGGAGCAACCGACATAAATGTAGCCTGGAACAATTCCCCTTCATTCCGTGCAGCCCAGGCGATGCAAAAGGTCGGACTCTCATGTAATAGGAGGAGCTTCCCAAGTGGTTGTTGTTGCTCGCTATGCCCACGAGATGGAAGTGAGGGTGCAGGCAGTGTGTGCACATGGAAACACCCTTACACGGACGGTGCTGCGTTCCTCCAGGACTCGAGGAGGTGTTTGCCATTTGGTGCCCGGGGGTGAGCCAGCTGGCCAGCAACTGCTCCGCAGTGCGCTTTGGGACACTGGTAGCTAAAAACAGCCCTTGGTACATCACTAACTGGGGAGGAAATGGGAAGGATAAGGCCACTGCTAGAGGCGTGATGCATGCACAAAGTCCCCCCAGGACTCCTGCAGCATTGAAGAAATGACACAAAGGAAGCAGGGCACCTTGCAGTCATTCGCTGTACTTTGCGACCACGAGAAAATCAGTCTCTCAAAATACAGAAGTCTGAACTGAGGCGGAGGAAACAGTCTGAGGCTGAACGACACTTAGAACCAGCTCCAAAGACGTGCTAGAGGCAGATGTAAAACAGCCTGGTCAGAAGCTCTGCTGCACAGAGCAACTACCTGTGACACACCAATGATGCTCGTGCCACCTTATTACCATTCTGTGTGGCTCCAGTGTTAAAGGACGACAGAGGCTGACCTTCCAAAACTTGAGAAACAGCAGCCAGCCTCACCACTGGACCCCATCCATATTGCACTTTCATGGCCTTTCCCTTCATCATAGGCATGCAGTAAATTGCTGTGCTGTGAGCAGCTTGTAATTCAAACTGAAAAAAACGACATTAACTAGGAGAATGTGAACCTCAGTGCTTCCAGTTTTCATGGCTCAGGCCATGTTTTCTTCCTCTGTCCTTTAGTGCTAAGCTCTGTCGTCAAGAGGAAGTGGCTGAAGCTCCCATGCTAGAGGGATATCTGCATCAGAGTGTTAAATATGTTCTTTTCATCTTGGGCTCATGTCTAAACATTTTAAATGCTTGTTGCGCATGACCTCCAAACCACACAGCAGAGGCTGTACTGACCAAGGTAGCTGAAATTGCTTGTCAAATATTTTGGAAATAAAACTGCAACAACGGCAGAGATAAAAATTTCAGTGTATCGTGACTGTTGGCTATTCTAAATACAGAAACTGTGAACACAGGAAACCCAACTTACCTCTTGAACTTATCCAGATTCACCTTTGAGTCATCAATGGGTGCTATGCCCCTTCTCAGCTAACACCTGCAATTTGGAGGAGGGACAGTGGTGAGATATCTGCCTTCTTGCCAATGGTTTCTTCATCTGTGGATGCTTTGTGTCTGTTTGACCAGAGGACCAAAGCCCTTTCAGGCAGGCACATTTCAGCACAGCCATGGACATCTACAAAACAGATGACTGCTGTGGGGCAAAGAGCTCTGTTCCCTTAGGAACAGGCAAAATAGGCAGCACCTCATTCCAGTCCGGTGGCTTCAAGTGCTGGGAAGGCTAACACTTTGGAGATAAAACTCCATTCACTGCATTAATTTCCAAAGAGGTACATCTTATATCTAGGAAGGTACCTTTGCTGATATGACAGCAGGCTTAATCACGTGGGCAGCCTCTATATACCCACCTTCCCTGCCTGGAGGGGAGCAGGGACTGGCAATACATTTTAGAGAAAAGATCTTAGGCTGTTTGGTACAAGAGGAAAATAGAGTAGGCTGGAAGGGAAATGGATTTTGAGAGGGTTTTATTTGGCTTTTTAATATGCCGAGCATCCTTTAAGCAGTAGGATAAGAATAACCTTGCCCCCATTCTTGATGATAAAATCCCCACTGTTGGATCAGAGCCAGACATAAAAGTCACTCTGCTTGTACTTTGTGCAACCTCTGCTACAGATTTTATCTTCTCTAAGTAACATTATGCAAAAGTCCAGAAAACAGAAAGCAAATACCAATACCACTTCCTTTACGTTGACCAATTCAGTGCACAGGAAGAAGCTTCTTGATATGAATAACCATCAAGCTGTAGCCACAGTCAGGGGTCTGTATGAGCACAGGAAGAGCAGTGGCTCTAAGTGCTGCAGATCCCTAGCAGGGGAAGATGGAGAACTCACAGCAAGCTGGATGGTGCAAGAAGCCTGCATCACCCATGAAAACGAGAGCTGCCTTGGAAGTGGTCAGGAGCACCACATGGACTGTTGTTCTGCTCACCAGCACCGCAGTCACAGGAGCTACAGGTAGTTCTGACAGTATTTAGGGATCAAGTGTCTATGAAGGGCTGAGAAGGAAGGAGCAGTGCATCACAATGATCTTTTTCTCAATTCTTCTTCAGATGGGGAAAAAAAAACAACCAAAAAAAGTAAAGGAAAGGATCTTAGAAATTGCCAAAGGGAATTTCTGATGTTTTCATTCAGCTAAATTTGTACTTACTCTTCTACTTTGTCATTTTTCATTTGATGGCGCCATAATCAGGGAAATCGGTTCACATAAGTTTTTGAGTGGCAGGAGAGAATTTGACTCTTGTGCTTGCCCTGATTGGGGGGGTTGCTCATATCTACCACAAAACAGGAGTCAGTCTTTGTTTGTTCTTCTCCTGTACTGGGCAATGATGCTGAGGGAAGGGAACTGCAGGAGACCTTCCCACGCCAATGGGCTCAGCCAGCCTTTGCTTCCAAGTTGTGTTACTTATCCATCAGTTTAGGGAATGGGATGTGCAGAGGAAAGGAGAAAAACGAAGGACCGACTTTGGCAAACACAGCCATGAATTTGGCAATTGGTTTCTGTCTAAAACGAGACACGCAGCTCTTGGGCTGGCGGTGACAGGACCTCACTTCAGAATGTAATGGTGCTGACATTTCCCCGTGAAGCACGGAAGAGAACTCCAAGGCCATATGTGACATCTTGAGCACTTTCTCATACCTCTTTCTCCTTCCTTGTCTCCTCCAGGAATTAACAGAGTGTCAGCACACCTGGGTCACAGCGCTGTGATGACCTGCCCCAACAAAACAAATATAACTATGGTAACATGGAAAATAAAACCCAAGACTGGAGGCGAATGCATCTTGGCATACCTGATTGATAGTAACAAGACAGAAAAAATCAACTGCAGTCACAGAATAAACTGGAGATCCAGACCAGACTGGGATCATGCACTTGAGATACAGCAAGTAGGAATGGCTGATGAGGGAAATTACACCTGCGAAGTGGTAAATGCAGATGGGAATTTCCGTGACCCGTATCACCTGACTGTGCTAGGTAAGGGTCTCCTTCCTCATTTCCCTGTTCTCCAGAGGACCGTGTCCAGGCCTGGGAAAACAAAGCTACTGTCCATGTGCACTAGAGGAAGTGTCTGGTAAGAAGAGGAGCTTTCTCATGGCAATAAAGGTCATGCATTTCATTTAGAGTAACTCTGTTTCTTCCCTTTCGTTATTTGCCAAAACTCTCTTACCTTCTGTTGCTGCTTTCTCCCCTGTAGAGTTATAAATGATGAGTGTGAAGCAATTTAGAGAACTTTAAAGAAGGATTCTGAATGAGCACACTGATACCCTGCAGTCACTCAGTAACAGCTGCTTGGGACTAATCTAATTCAGCCCTGTATTCTGGGGTATTCCCTACCTCCACGTCCAGGAATACCTCCTCTCAGGGCACGTGGCTGTAGTATCTCACTTGAATGTAGAAGAATTGTCCAGAATGAAAAAAGATATACCCTTGTCTCTTGTGGCTTTGGAACACATTGCTGTGATGAGATGGCACTTCCAATTCCCCTCTTCTCACTATGATCCCTTTGGATAGTCGATAAAACCTCCTATCCCACTGCAGCAACCCACACGCATCTCCCCCCTTCCTGGTACTCTGCAGTTTCCCCGAGAATGGCTCTGTACTGCGATGACCATGGGAACCCTGTGTGCGAGGCAGAGACAGAGAAGCCGGCTGCTGAGATCTCGTGGGTCCCACAGAGCAACTCCACACCCAGAGCAGACAGTCACAGTAACGGGACAGTGACAGTTCTCAGCAGGTTTGCAGCACGTAGCAGCGATGGGAAGAATGCTACCTGCATCGTGTCCCACACAACTCTGAACGAGGCCAAGTCCATAGACTGCTCCTCACGTAAGCTTCCCTTTGTGTGCTCAGTTTCCTGTTTAGTCCTCTGTTCCTGCACTAAGACATCAGTGACACTGGCATGACTGCAACCATGCAGCCGAGCTGAAGTTTCCAGTGAGAAATTTGTTGGGGTGGGGAAGGATAAACAACTGTGCTGTCAGAATTGAAAACTGCTCTGTGAAATTCTAGGCAAGAAGATAAACATGGTACTCTTCCTTTCTAAAAATAAGGCTGAAATTAGTCTTATTCAGAAGTATACGGCAAATAATATTTTCTAGAAGGTGTGATTCTGTCAGGCATGCAGTAAATGGTTTGTGAGGTGCACTTAAAATAACTGTTTCTCTTTAGACCGCACTGCACGGTTTCATCACTGTGTCATCAGCCTTGCTTGTCTGCTGGCCTCATTTTTCCTTTTGGCTGTTCTTCACCTCTGCATATTCTGTGATGCCAGGTATGTGCAGGATGTGATACATATAACACCCCTCTGGTCACACCTCGAGAAGTTTACGAGGGCTTCTGGTGCTATTTCACATCATGTGCAGTCATGTCAGAATCTGTCACAAGTGAACCAGCTCAGCACATGTTCATGCGGGTTTATCAGAGATATGTAACATCACAGCTGCTCTTAGAATTCATTCATTGGTGCTCGAGACCCGCCTCCTGCTGCCATACTTCTTCCAGTAGCAAAAATACAAAACAAATGGTCAGTTCAGTTCCACTGATAGAACAGTTCCGCAGATAGAAAAAACGGGATTTCTAGGCTATGAAGATTAAATGACAGCAAAATATCTTCCAGAGGTTGGGTACACACTTTTGGACAATGTTGTCTTTCTCAAATAAAGGTAAGGAAGGCAGGGGTCATGCAGAAATGCAGGAAGTATTGCACAAGATCAGAATCAGTTTGTAACTGTTTCAGAGTTCTGGCAGCAATCTGGCAGCATGGCCAGTTATCAGTTGTATGCTGCAAGGTGAAACTGCTATGCAAAGTTACAGTACAAACAAGTAATGCAGAAACAAAATGAAAGTATTTTCACTTGAGGTTACAGATATATATAATCACAGATATAAAGCCTCATGTTTCTGAAATTCCCCACCAAAAGAAATAAATAGGAGGAATTCTGTTCTTGCATTCCTAGAGCCCAGAACTGCATTTCTCAAAAAAATCTTGGTCCTCACATTTACAGTACTGATGTTTTGTTTTCAAGAAAGAAGAGGAACTCATAGAAGCCGAGGCATATCCATGTGCATAGCTGTCCAAGGCTATTCCTAACTCAGCACCTGAGCAGAGATGAAAGAAACTCCCTATATGCCTCAGTCTCAGCAATGTGAGATGTCACCGTGAATCACTGTGTCAAAGCATTCAGGCAGATGAAGCAAACATCCATGAAGCAGCCAATGTAACTGTGCAGAAATATGACATGCAGGGCAGATCCTAGCTGACCTTTGTCAGCTTTCTCTTTTATCCTTTCTCTAAGGTAACCATAGATGTCATCACCCATGCAAGTATCCTTTTTTTTTTTTTTTAAATAAACACAATAAGAAAGTAATTCATGGTATATAGAAGGAAGTCACTCAACTTTAAGTACATCACATCCTCATATTCAAGTATCCTATTTTACTGGCTCAGAAGAAATTTTCTTGCATACTAACAATAGCAACTTTCTCAAGATGGTTATGCAGGGACTGAAGTTAGCTTCAGTTTGAGTGGATTTATTATTTTCATTGGAAGAATTCTGTATTTCTGTATAAAAATGACCACAAACTGAGCCATCTACTGGAAGACTGTGTAGAGCAGTCGCTAGTGAAGGCTGAGGCCAAAATGCTGTTGAGTACTTCTGCCTTTTCCTTGTCTGTTGTTATCAGCCTGGCTATATTATCCATTAGAGGGGGTACACCTTCCTGGACTTTTCCAGCTGATGTACCCACAGAAGCCCTTCTTACCCTTCTTTGTGCCCCTTAACAAATCCACTTTCAGTTGGGCCTTGGCCTTCCTGACCTCATCCCTACACAGCCCAGCAGCATCCCTGTTGTCACTGCCTGTGCATTTTCTTCTTGCTCTCCAGTTTGACCAGCAGGTCCTGATTCAGCCATGCTGATTTCTTGCCCTCCTTTCCTGACTTCCTACACTTGGGGATGGAGAGCTCTTGTGCCCTCAGGAAAGCTTCTTTAAACACCTGTCAGCTCTGCTCCATTCCCTTGTCCTTGAGAACAGATTCCCAGAGGATTTTGTTGACTAACTGCCTGATGAGCTGGAAGTTGGCCTTCCTAAAATTAAACTTCCTGATTTTGTGTATCTGATATCCCTCAAGAGTGTGAACTCCATCACTGCATGGTCACTGCAGCCCCAGCAGCCTCCAATCCTGATGTCACCAATCAGTTCACTTTCATTGGTGAGCAACAGGTCCAGCATTGCAGCTCCTCTGGTGGGGCTGTCCCTGGCTTTCCCTGGGTGTCAGGCATGCCAAGTACATCTAGACAGACAAAAATAGGTATAAACCATTTGAAGACACATAATTGCTTGCTCATAAATCCTAATAACTTGGAAGATGTATTGTTTTCTCCTTGAATAGCAAACTAGCTTGGCCTCCATTTCTTAGCTGATATCAGTAGTTTATTTACCACTACTTTTCTTCTCCTCACCTTTTTCTGGTGCAGCTGATAAAGTCCTGTAAGTCACTTCCTGGGCTGTTTCTGGCCATGACATTTGATGAACACAGCTGATGATTCCATTCCATGCTCACAGACACAGCCTCATTGTGCCCATCTGCTGTCACATACGGCTGTTTGGTCACAGGAGAGCTTGAACTTTGTACAACTGACACACAATTCAAGTAAACTCGGAGACAAGAGAAGGATAAACTCACTGCAATGCTAACCAAATTACTGCTAATTCACTGTGGTAACCTAACTGCCTTATCAAAAGCCAGCAGAAAACCACACTGACTTTGATATTTGTAGTTATCCTGGTAAGTTTCCACAGTGTGCATCAACCGACTGCATGCAAGTAGTATTCAGCTAAACTGCTTCTCTGCAGCATCTGAACAAGCTCTGGGCATGTGTACATACAAACCCACATGCAGACACCCAGCTGCTCCACCAGTGGTTGTATTTTACTGTAAGAAAACCTGCAGAGCTGCAACTCTGCTTGGCTCTTACTAAGTAAATTACAAACAATACACAGATAAGACTTTTTTCTCTCTCTTCGTCAACTGTAGGACAAGTCAACATTTCAGAGATGCCAACAGAGTTAGCCCCTATGTTAGCAATATACCACCAGTGTCAGCAGAATGCAAGATGTGAATCTTGCTGTATTGTTTGGGGCTAGCATATGGTATTTGACTTTTGCCAGAAAGAAAAATAACTAGCATTCTTTGCTGCAGTTTCCATTCAAACAGCTCAGAGCCTCTCTGTCCTCCTTCAGAGATGAAAGAGATCAAATTCTTACAGTAGAATCCACAGGATTATATGATCAACCTTGCCACCATTCTTTGGTCTATTTATTCTCAAAGCCATCACAAATCCTTCTGCAGGACTGAGGATAAAGCCACCCAAGATTTCTACATTGTGAGTTTCAGTCCTGTCTCCTGAGCAGCTACTGGAACAACCTGGAATGTTTTGTCCTTTATCTCACCAGATGCCAAATATTCTCTTTGGCACATTCACTACATAGTGAGCTTCGGCAAGAAAAGATTGTTTGCCTGTTTTTTTGATTGTCATTGGTTTTTAATATACCAGTTTTAAATTATTGTTCTTCTTATATGTAAAAAAAAGAGGAAACAGTTCTGACAAATTCAGAGACCACACTAACTTTCCTCATTGCACCTTTACCCCTAAGTAAGTACTACTCTAAATATCGGTCCTTCTGCAGCACAGACACGCTACTGAGACCGCAAGTTGACCACAGACCCCTTTTTTGTTGTTGCTTGGTGAGCCTATCCCAAAGTATTATGTAAAGCCATCTCACATCCTGTTCACTTGCAAGAACTCTCAGTGAGCTCTCCAGCATCACCATCTGTAGCTCTTCCATACTGCTAGTTCTGAATTCCTAGTACAATTCTGCTCTTTTCCCCTACTAATCCTGTTTCAGCATGGTTGATGGGACACTGGGAGATTGAAAGATATTTTCAGTTCCCCAGAGTATTTCTGAAGCTTGGTATGAGGATATAAACCCACGCCTGTCTCGCTGACAAGCTCTCACACCAACCTGTAGAGTACCCTGCTTTTCTTCTGTGTGCTATGACTCATGCAACCTGTCTGATCTACCCCAAGATTGCCATAAGGGAGGAAGTACTACAGCAGTGGTGAGGAACAGCCAGGGAGGGGACAGGGCAAGTGAAGCAGAGGCTGCTTGGTTCTCTCAAATGCTGATGGTGCTCCAGCGTGAAAGTGATGCTGTATTCCAGGTGGAGGCAGTTTCTCTTTATAGGGGCAATGAAACTGCAGAGCAGACTGTGATGGAAAGCATGACTACATTAAAAGAGCTCTTCTTGTGTCTAAAAACGAATGAACAACAGACATTTCTGCTTAACTCTGCTACTCAGAGGCTCCTCTATCTGTAACAGCTGCTTTCTCCAAAAGCAGTTTTAAAAGCCCTGTTGTTAATTTTCCACCTTTGGATATGTTCAGGCATTGGCAAAAGACCACATTGTAAAGAAAATATGTCAGCTGATATTATTTTGAGAGAGGAATAAGCTGGGATCATGCCTGGACACTGATAATACTTTGTCATTACTAGAGGAAGAACGTTTCGTTCCCGACCCCTAACATCTAATGCAAAATATATATTCACCCAGTTGTGTGCAAAGAAGGGACAAGCAGAAGCCACAGTCACTGTTATCTATTTCCACATGCTTTTCCATACTGTCAGCACAGGAGGCTTGGTGCTGTGAAGAGGGATCTCCAGCAAGCTCCAAGGCTGACTACCTTCATGAGTATCTAGCTATTAATGCTGGAGGTCAGGAGAACATGCAACCATTTGCCTTTGCTGTCAGACTCAAGCCTAGGTGGCACATCCACATCAGACAGCAGTTTGAATGGAAAAAGAAAAAAGAATGGAACAGAAGAAAATTCACCACAGGAATTA